TTCAAATATACTCCCTCCCTTTATAAAAACACATCTTATATTGGCTTTGAACAAAAATAAAGAAAGATTATTTAGACACTTTTCAATTTTGCCTTAATTTGATTGATAAAAATAAGATATGATAGGTAGAGTATTAATGAAAAAAGTATGACGTGATAGTTAGCATAAGAGTAAGTAGGGATAAAAATAGTTTTTTTAATAAAAAGTGAAAGTATTTGGGTGAAAAGTATGTTAATAGTAGTAGAGTTAATAATATTAAAATAAAACTAAAATACTTTTTCAATATCAAAATAAGAATTTCAATATTTTTATATCAAAATAAGATTTACACCACCAAATAATACTACAAAATGAAGTAAGTATGATATGACCAAACCACCCTCCAATTTAGGAGATAAAAATATAAACTATCTTATTTTAGTATAAATTTTATGTTTAGTTTTAATTAAGTGATTTTTTTAATATATGGCGTAAGTGCGTAACTACAAAACTATTTCAACACGTTTGGGAGTGCTATTTAAGAGGGTGGGGTAGGTTTTGCTCAGGCAAGGATTTGGTGGTTTACGGAAGTTTAGAAAAAATAAGAATCATCAATTTTAAGAAACGGAAATTTTATGTTTTCTACAATTAACTTCAATGTCATTGATGTCATTAAAAACCAATGTCATGAGATAGCAATCTGAATTATTAATACTAAGAATGCCTAATAGCTCCGTTGCCCCCTGGCCTGTGGTTTGGAAAATTAGCACCAACACCCCATATATTTTCAAAACTTATTTTTAAAACCCCCTGATTTCAAAACGTTGCACTCACATCCCCTATGATCATTTTCCGGCCAATTTCTGGAGAAGATGGGGTATTAGCGCATAATTTCTAAACCATAGGGGTACCCGTGCTCATTTCTTAATTTTCATTTATTATTTTTGTTTTTCCTTCTTTTCCTTTTCCTAGATTTATTTTTTAAATTGCTTTTCAAATTTTTATAATGTTTTAAAAATTTTAAAATTTTTTGTGTTTGAAATAAAAATTAAAAAGTTAACATACATTACATCTATCTCAAATTAAACATTTTCACTTTTTTTTACTTAGAATAATTTTTTGGAAAGTTCAAAAAGAAAACCCAGAATAAAAAATAAAAATAAGGAAAAACAAAATGAAAAAAATTAAAATATGCAAAAAAGAGTGTTCTACAAAAAATAATTTCTGGACACGCCTAAAAAAGTTCTTAAAATTGAGACCTCCAAAAAGGATATTCATTTTTATTTTTGTATTATTTTGTTTCTTATTTTATTCCTCATTTTTTTGAATTCTAAAAAAAATTACTTTTTTCAGAAAAACAAAAAATGTTAATTTGAGACATACCGATGCATTGTATGTTAATTTTTTCAAACGAAAATAACTTTAAATTTTAAGAACATTTTAAAAGTAATTGTAAAAAACCTTTATTAATAAATGAAACAAATAAAGGGAAAAAAAGAAAAAAACAAAAAATTAGTGAGAAATAAAAAATTAGCAATTGTACCCCCATGGTTTAGAAAATATGCACCAATGCCTTCTTTCTTCGCCAGAAAAATGGCCGGAAAATGATCAGAGAGGGCACGGGTACAGTAATTAAACAATGTATATGTATGGATTATTGATGAGGTGCTTGCATGTGTTTGTATGTATGTGCATGCAGCTTTCGCATTCTGTTTTGCTGCTGGATATTCGACTGTTGCTGTTGCTGCTAGATGGGCTGGCCGGAGCGAGGCGCTGCCGCCCGGACACCACCTCCATCTTTCCATCCCGGCCGCCACCATCCTCCAAATACGCAGTTATAATTAGCTTAATTTACATTGATGTGCCAAAAAAATGAATCATATTATATATACTCTCTTTCTCTAATACGGAGTAATATGTTTTTTTAATGCGAGTAATATATACGGAGTATGTTTTTTTCTTATTTTGATTTGACCATAATTTTTTTTTGAATACTAAGAACTCTAGTACTTCGCACAATTTAGTATGAGTTCAAACATTCTCGTCTAATAATAAAGCTCGTAGAACTTCCAAATTATTGGCATAAAACTTAATTAATACTCAAAAGTTTGACTTTTCTATTCCGGCTATGTCTTTGTTACACGGAGTAATAAAAATTAATGAATAATGTGGTGATAGTTGATAGATGATGATAGGTAAAGTATGATACGAGTAATAAATTGGGTATAAATTGCTAAATATAAGACTTTTGTAAGAGCATCTCCAACCATATCATTTTAACTAGCTAAAAGTTATAATATAAGTAGTTAAACACTTTTGTTCTTCTCCAAAGGGCATGCTTTATATTAGCTAGTTTGCCAAAAAATAACTTTGGTTTGCTAAATATGACAAGTCCCTCAAAATTTAGTTAGCCAATACTTAAAAATTAAAATGACAAATTATGGTTGAAGAATAAAGCAAAAAAGTGCTTGTTATATCACTATTCACTTGCTATAATGTAAAAATAACAAATTAAAATAACAAGCATGGTTGGAGATGCTCTAAGTACAAGTTGTATATATATTTCACTTTTTGTCATCAATCTACGATCAAAATTAAGCAATCGTCCGGCCACTAATGTCCCTTAAGGATATATGAGACTCGTTCTTCTTCTCTTTTTTGGAGTAAATAAGTGAATAATTGGTAGTGGGTTTAGGGCAACAAAAATATTGCAAAACAAAGTTAGGCCGTGTTTGGAAAAAGGCTTTTTGGATAGCTTTTGGCATATTTGATTGAGTTTGGCTTTTTTGACTGAGCGAACAGTCAAAATCATTGTTTGGCTAATGGCTTTTTCACTTGGCATTTTGATCCGAAAAGCCAAAATTTGAAATGCCAAGGGGATTAGCATTTGGAATTGGCTGTTAGGAGAGTATACATATTGATGGATACCCAATATTTTCCTAGGTATTGTGGATCGGCCCGGGTTCAAATATAGGTGTCCGGGCCTTATAATATTGAAAGAATAATACGAGAATAGTAAGTAATAATAATGGAAACACTGCTCACGGACCAGAACTAAGACCGGTGGTCCTCTCCTTTATTCGGTCCTCTCAGGGACGGAATATGCTTAAGGACCGCCAGAATCTTTTATTATTACTCAAGTATTTTCTCTCCTCATTACCAGCTCCCCTTTCTCCTCTAGTCTCCCTCTCTTTTATCGGCACTTCCCTCCACTATCCTTTTCAATAATGGCAGTGGTCAGGGGGAATGTGCGTGCCAGCCTGCATCCTCTGGAGGAATGTATCTCAGCTAGAAGCCGTCCACTGGAAGACAACAACCTTTCCGTCCACCTCTCATTCTTGTCCTTCGTCCGTCCTTTTCTCCTCGTCCCTGTCTCTCCTGTTGAGGGGGGACGTACCCTAATCTCTACATAGGATTCTTCCTCTTGGGTGAGTTATTCCTAATGGGCTGGGCTTCCACCCATCCTTAGGCCTCCCCAATCCTTTTCCTTTTCCTATATTTCCTCACGGACACCTATATTTGACCGGCGCGGTATATTTTATCTGGGCCGAATGCTTCTTTTGATGGACGGGACCCGAATTGGGTCTAGGCCCAATTCGTTAATATTCTCTCGATGGGCTCGGTTCCCATCACATATATACTTGAATAGTACTCGTAATTTTTTAAAAAAAGATGATAGGTAGATAAAGATTTGCATTTACGTTGAATTTAAAAAAAAATGATTCAATTTATAGAGAAAGAAAGAGGAAAAAAGAGGGAGAAAAAAGAGAGGAGAAGGGGTTCCAACGCCTTCAAGCCGCGTCAAAAATTTGACACAACAATTTGAACTGGGTCATAACGGAGGAGGGGGCTGTGTTTAATGCCCCCAGCCCTCGAGCGTCAAAATGATCTTAACGTGGCTGAGCATCATGCCCATTACTACTGCTCTAAATGGGGGGAGGGGGTGAAAGGAAATAAAACAAAAAATTTATTTGTATCTCATTTATGTTCTCGTAAGATTTTGTTTGATACAAAATGTAAATGCAACATTGGTATGATGTCTGTGTTATACTTACATTTTATGTCACGATAAACATTTACACTATGTTTGGTTCAAGAAATTTGAAACAAAAGAAGATTTTTTTTCTCATTTTTTCTCACCAAAACGTATGGAATTTGAGTTTCCCTTCCTTCGGTATATTTTTTCTTCTTGTTTTCTTTTCCTTCCAGTTTTATTTTCTTTTCCTCCCCTTAACTAAACAAGTACAACGTTTTCTTTTTGAAGAAAACCCCTAAATAGAAGTAAAACATATGTCATATCCTCAAAATAAAAGTTTAAACTTAAACTCTTCTAAATAGGAGTAATTAATTAAGTCATATTACAACAATCGCACCTCATAAAAGAGGAGACTGGAGAGTCTTAAATGGCTGCCATTGTGGATGAGGTCATGTATGACTAAATAATAATAATAATAATAATAATGTAGAAATATTTTACGTGAAATTGAGTTTTCCATTAGTCACCAGGAGTTTATATACAAAGCCGAGAATACAAGTCACGGGCCCAAGCTATACACAGCCCAATACACAATAAACATATACACATAAAATACTAGGCTAACACAATAAACATATACACATAAAATACTAGGCTAAAAAATAATGATAATAATAATAATAATAATAATAATAATAATAATAATAATAATAATAAAAATAATAATACAACTTGAATTGCATCTTCATTAGGCATTGATTTTGGTTAAGTTTTTTCTTTTCATTTTTGTATTTGATTGTTTTTCTTTTAATTTTTTTGTTTGATTGCTTTTGTATTAGTTGTGTTTAGATTTTGCTCCCAATTTCAGCAAAATTTGGTGATAGTGACAAAAACTTGATATTGTATGTTGACAATATTGACATTTCAATTTCTTTTTGATATTTTATGTTGACATATTTGGCATTATGCAATAACATGTTTGGCATTATGGAATGACATGTTTGTCAGTACGCATTATCGTCTTTGACATTGTGGCTTTAGTTGGCATTGTATTCTAAGTCTTTACCCTTGGCAGTGACACCATGACACTATGGTGGCGACAATGGCAATCTTGATCACAACGTTGGTAGTAAATTGCGTCATTGACAACAACAAATAGACGCGATGGAGGCGGAATCCGCAACAAATGGGGATGAGAGCAGCAAATTGTGGTGGTGATGACGGCGATAGTGTCGACCGTGGCGGTGTTAATGGCAGGACCGGTAGCAACAATGTAGATGGTGGCCGCATTAATAGCGATGGTAGCAGGAGATTGGGGCAGTGGAGTGATAGCGATGACAGTAACGACGATGGCGGCAGGAGTGGCGACAGTGACATGTGGGGTAGGTGCTGTAGCTAATTTAGGTTTTTTTAATTTATATAATGTATTTAATTTCATATTTGTCATATGAATATAACTTCTATTTTGTTACATGGTCAATGTTTTACTTCTATTTCGCTCCTTAACTCTAAACCATTAGATTAATTAAGTTAATTACTCCTATTTAGGGGATTTTATGTTTCAACTCTTATTTTGAATATATGTCATATGTTTTACTACTATGTTGGTCCTTCTCCCTTTCTTTTTCACTTTCTCTTTTTTCTTCTCAGATTTTTTGAACCAAACATAACATTTATAATACTTGATGAAAAAGCATCACATTCCAAAAAAATGAAACTAATTACACTAATAAGTATACCTGGCAAAAAGTGACCCGACCTGTTTTTGACCCGAAACCCGATCTGAAAACACTGGGTTTTGAACAAAGGTTTTGATGACCGAACCCGAAGTTGACCGAACCCGAAATGACCCGCTAAAAAAGGGTCAAACCCGACCGAACCCGAACCCGACCTGACCGACCCGCTAAAGTAAGAATTTTTCAAAATTGTACACTTTTTTACTCGTTTTTAGTGTATAAATTTATATTTTCAGACAAAATTTTAATGATATTGCATAATTATCTTACTTTTTCCCCAAAACTTAAGCATTTTTAAATTCCTTATATTGATTTTTATATCTAAATACTACTTTAGAGTTTACAATAAAATAATTTTATAGATTTAATACTTTTTTTTGATATTTTAAATTTATTAATGTGAATTTAAAAATTTAAATAACCAAAGTCATAACCCGTTGGGTCGACCCGAACCCGATGACACTGGGTTATGAATATAGAATTCTCAACCCGAACCCAAATTGACCCGAACCCGAAATAACTCAAACTTGAAAAGAGCGAACCCGAACCCGACCTGACCGGCCGATTTGCCAGCTCTACTAATAAGGACACCAACGTTGGGACGGAAATCACGGAAGATTACTGTTACTCCGTATTTGGTTTCATCATTAAGCATTTGCCTGACGTGTCCCACCGACTGGGGCCAACCTGATTAATTTCACATGTGACACATATAGAATGGTACCACTCTCGACACTTGACAGTTCATCATTGTCCTCCCATCTTCATTCTTGTCCTCTCATCTTCACAAACGGATATCTATTGATTCAAAAAATTAGTGAAATGGTACTAAATACTCTCTCCGTCCCTAATTTGATTACAAATTGCGAGTTACCGAGTTAAATTTTTTATTTTTTAAAAATTATTTTATTTACAAATTGGTATATCAATATGATATAAAAATTACATATTAAAAAACTACGTTAAAAGTTCTACAAAAGAAGATGTGACAAAAATATTTTATTTTATCAAATACTTAATGAAATCGCGTAAACAAACAAAAGTTATCGAGAGAAGAGAAAAAAATTATAATTTATTTAGGGACGGAGAGAGTAATAAAGTACTTTTTAAAATTAATCTCCAAAATTAATTAATGCTCGAGATGATACTTGTTAATTTAGAATAATGTCCAATTCAGTTCATCTGACTAACGATTGTTAAAAAGTATTAAAAGTTAAAATGATGTTAATTATGTAGGATGACAATATACTTCTACCGTGCTAAAGCGTTCTTCCCGTTTCTTTTTACTTCCTCCGTCACCAATTTGATTAAAAATTGCGGGTTACAGAGAAAGTAATATAAGATATAACGTCGTTTTAATGTGATTTTAATGACTGTTAATCGAAGGGACTAAAGAGACCATTATTATCAATTAACGACTATCATATCGGAAATAAATTAATTACTTAGTTTTGGACCTAATTTGGAAAACATAAAGTTATTGAGTACCATTTTGGTAATTACTTCGGAAAAATCAAGAAACCCAAATTGAAAATTTTCAAACCGACAAAATACCGCTAAAATGCCAGATTATGCCGAACCGAATGTTTGGTTTGGTATTGAGAACGGTACGAAGTAACTTCTCATATTGAAAATCCCAAACCGGATATACTCTGTATATAGTAATATATTCTATCTGTCTATTAATTTCTTTCTCATTTTCCTTTTTGGGCCGTCCAATTTTTTTAAAATTTTTTAATTAAATATTAAGTTTATTATTAAAGTTTCTTTCAAATTTTATTATGTGTACATTACATTTCTATTTAAGTTTCATTTTTTTGTAGACGAATTTAAAATATTGGCACACATTTGATATATCTTTTTGTTATCTTCCGCTCACGTTAGTTTATGAAATATGAACTAAGTTTCATAAATATTTCTTGCATTTAATTTTTCATCTTTTACTTTTTTATGTTTCTTTGTTTAAATAAACTGAATAAATGGTTTTGAGAAATTTTAAAATTTAAATTAGGTGCGTATGTAAATTTCTCGATGTATACCGAAACCGAAACCGAACCACCTTAAACCATATCGAACCGAAATTTAAGGCCGGGATCGGTATGACATAAAATCTTATATCGAACTCAAATATTTGATATGAGATCGGTACGAGCTAAATACCGTATACATACCATGATCACCCTGCAAGCTCTTACACAAAGAGATTCTCTCTTATTTGATTCCATTATTATCTGCCTTTAGTAAAATTTACAATTGTAAAATTTATGATTTAATTTTTTAATCCAAATTAACTTATTAGATTATTATAAAAATTTAAAATAGAATTTATGAATTTCAAAATAAACTTTTTCATCTTCAAGGAATATCTTAGTTTAAATTTATATTGAGTACGAAATACGAGTAGTTTTTAAGGTGAAGTGTATGCTTTTTTACTTGAGAGATTCCCCAACTTATAGGATGATAATAAAAGAGTAAATTTCATAACTAGTTCTTAATATCTAGGAGATTTTCATATTTAGTTCTCTATTATTAAATAGTATCTTCGTAGTCATTCTGTTATGAGTGCCTTTCCACAAATGGTCTTTTTTGATCTGATGTCATGTTGGTGTTAATTTCAAGGCTAAAAGTATAATTTGACATCAACCTTATGTCCAATAACGTGTTCAGATATTGGTTAGACGGACAACATAAAAATAATGGCTATGACTGTGAGCTAAGATTTCGACAAAAGACCACATCTGTAGTATGTGGTTTTAGTAGAAAACGACTGTAATTGACAAACGACACATTATAAGCGGCCTTTGGATTGTGCATGATAAGAAAGATATGTTATCATTGTGAACTTACGCTTTTAGTCCTCAAATTAACACTAATATGATAGAAATAAAAAAGGACTATTTGTACAAAGATACTCATAAAAAAGGGACCACCGGGTTAACATTTGATAATAAATAATAAAATAAAGAGACCCACTGATATAAAGGACCAATTATAGAATTTTACTCTAATAAAAAAATACTCTATCTTGAACTTGTAAAAAAATACCTCATCTCTAAAAAAATGTAACAAATGGGTACCCCTTTGCCGGAATTTTGAAAATCTTTCCGGTGAGTGCACATGTGACCATTAATCGAATGATTTTCTTGTGTATGACTAGAAAGATATATTATCATTGTGAACTTACGCTTTTAGGCATCAAATTAACACGAATATGATAGAAATAAAAAAGGACTATTTGTAGAAGATTTCAAATAAAAAAAGATCACTAGGGTAACATTTGATAATAGATAATTAAATAAGGAGACCCACTTTATAAAGGACAAATTATAGAATTTACTCTAATAAAAAAATATTCTATCTTGAACTTTTAAAAAGGATACCTCATTTCTAAAAAAATGTAACAAATGGGTACCCCTTGCCGGAATTTTGAAAATCTTGCCGGCGAGTGCCCATGTGACCGTTCACTTTGCTTGTTGTTTACATGTGACATTTCATATGACTTCCAAATTAATTTTTATATTATCTTATACTCCCTCCGTCCCTAAATAAAGTTTCATTTTTGACTTTTTGAGGATTTAAGGGAGAGATATTTAAAGGGAAGAGTTTCATATTTAGTTAAATTTTAAAATACTTATAATCTATTTGCAACGCGGTTTGCGATGCCTTAGAGCATTTGCAGTGGCGAGGAGAATGACCTCCACGCACTGCCAAATCAGCACCAGATCTCTTTCTCCTCGCGTGTAACTTGCTTTTTGCCTCTTTTTGCGAGTATTGGCCGAGGCATGGAATGGCTAGTGGAGCAGCTACTGGGAGGAAGACCACATGGGGTAATTACTCAATCTCCTTTTCATGTTTTTTAATTTATTTTGTTTAATTTGTATTATGATTTTTAAATTTGTTAATTTGATTATTTAATATGAAATATTTTTATTTTTACTTTCTATTTCTATTTTTATATAAAAAAACTTTTTCTTTAAACGTAATAGAAATACCAAGTATTTGTATATTAAAAGAGATGATAAAAATAATTTTTATTAGTTAATATACAACAACAAAAAATAAAAAAAAGAAAAAAGTAATGCCTTGCCATTGTAGAACTTGTCATTCCACTCATTTGCCACTCTATGACTGGATCTGTTTTAATTTGTTGAAATATGATCCGACATCTTTTTGGCCGCAAAAGCAAGTGCAATGAATCTGCGATGGATATTGCGACGTCTACCTATTACGGAGTAATAAGTTATTTTAAATTATACTCCGTATTTAAAAATATAAAGTGTAAACATTTAAATAATGTGATAATTTAAACACTAATCCAAAATAAAATCATTTAATGCTCCAACTACATGAATAGTAAAATCATTTAATGCTCCAAGTCACTCCAATCATCCACCCACGATTATGACATTGTGAATGTGTGAGAAAGAAGTGTCTATTCTCAACTTGGGATATGCTAGCGTTCACCAAAGGTGTACCCCAAATGCACACCACGCTCCTTTTATTTTATTTTTATTTTTTTTGAACTTTCTTGCCTTTTTTGTGTGATGATGGAAGGATGGGGGATGCTTGGGGTACACTTTTGGTGTACCTTTAGCATTTTCCTCTCAACTTATACGGTTTATACTCTATAACATAATTTTTCTTTAAAAAAATTGGGTGTTGCTTAATCTCGACTAGTGAACTACTCCCGGAGTCCCGGTATCCCAATGTATTTGTCTAAATTGATTATTTCGATTCAAATTAGACAAACTTTAAGCTTCAATTAAATAAAAAATATAATGTATTTTAACATAAAAATGACTTTATTGGATTTATCGTATTGAAAACTTTTAAAATAGTTTCTCATTATGCTGATATGCAATATAAATTGAGAGTAATTGAAGTTTAGAGTTTGTCTAATTTGACTCGAAAAAGTCAAACTAAACAAATACACTGAAATGGAGCTAGTAGTATTTTAAATTTTAAATACTTTTGCAACGCTTTATAAAGCTCTAGTACATCTTAAAATGGTCCGGTACATTTTAAAGCTTGCATTATAATTGGGGTAATGGTATGGATGCTCGTGGTTTATAAAAGGGTGTTAATACCTTCATTATTTTCAAAAGTTATTTGTAAAACTTTTGTTATTTTTAAATTGTGCACAAACACCCGTCTTACTTATTTTTAAAAATAAAATGACATTTATACCATTCGGTTTTCTTTATTTTCAAGTTTTTACTCTTTTATTTACATTTTTATTATACAAATAAATAAAATGAAATATACGCCCTCTTTCCTATATAAAAAATTTCATTTATTTATTTTTCAAAAAAACATTTTTTAAGAACATGTTACAAAAGAAAACAAAAAATAAAAATGGAATAAAATACACTTTTTTTGTTATAAATAATAGTAAAATAAATAAAATAAAAAAATTAGATGACATATACTCACTCTATCTCTAATTAAAAGTTCTAACTTGTATGTTTTTAAAAGTAAAATAATTTTTTTAAGAACTTTAAAAAATGAAGAACATGAAGACGAAATAAAATACGGATTTAAAGAAAAGGACTATTTTTTACGGAGTATACTTTTCTTTCTTTACATTACCTTTTTCAATTATTTTTTTGACTTCGTACACAATATTTTATTTTTATTTTTCTTTTGTAACATTCTCCGAAAAAATTATTTTGTTTTCAAAAAAACATAATTGAAAAATTTTAATATGAGATGGGGAGCGTATAGAGGAAAAGAAAAGGCATAAATGTCATTTTTACTTTAAAATTATGTAATGAGTGCATTTGTGCTCTATTTAGAAGCCATAGGGAGTTTAAATTGACATTTGAAAATAAAGGAAATTTTGATGTTTTTTTTTGTAAACCACAGGGGCATCCTTGCTATTAGGACTAAAATTACTTAGTATAATATTATAATTTGCACTAAATAGGACTAAAACATAAGTCATTTCCCAATGTACAACTTAAACTTTTTTATTCTTTAAATAGGACTTAATAATGATGATTGGGAAAAATAATGTTCAAGTAATGCTGGACATTTAGTTGAATAATGACTAATATATAATGACCAATGGTCTTACATTGGGAGATAAAAAACGTATAATCCTATATTGAGAAAGTCATTATGTTTTAATCCTGTTTAGGTAAATTACTCTGAGTTTACTCATATTTTATTAAATTTGTTTACAATCTTAAAAAATAGACCAGTTTCATTTTACAATCAAATTAGATAAACATTAATCACCAGTAAAATAAAAATTGCATTAGATACCATTCATACCAGTCATACCAATAAGAAGACAATTGTTTGAAAAATTTAAACAAATCTTACACACATCATTTTTATAATCCACATTGAATAAATTGTTACTCCCTCCGTCCCAGTTTATATTGCTTGTTTCGGTTTATGATGTTTGACTGAAATTACTTTTAAAAAATGATGTAAAATTAAAAATAAAAATTACATATTAAAACATCAAAAGATCTACAAAACTAGTAGTGACACGATTATTTTATTTTATCAAACAACTACTAAAAAAGTTAATAAAGTTTGAGACCGGGCCACGCCCCATAACGGCAATGACGGCACGGTGGAGCAAGCGTAAAGGGCGTTTGAAGAATTAAAGGGACATGCCATTTCCGTCAAGCCCCATAAGGGAGGGCCTAAGAGCATGTGCATATGCTTGTCAATGGGTTGGATTCGGACCGGTCCATAGTGTCCTATACCTCTATCCTTAAAAAAATTGATCCTGACTCGTACCGGTTTATCCGATGGGTCTTGAAGTTTTATCCCGGATTGGACCCATTGGATTTCGGTATCGGGTCAGGCATACCCATGATAAAAGTTGACGTCTTGTATTTTTCTATAATTGAAATATAATTAGTGAAAATACTATGAATAAAAAACATTTTAAGTGAATATAAATAAAAATAAGACTAATACATTACTCCAACAAAAATTGGTCTTCTTTACAAAAAATCTACAACAAATATCTTAGGTTCATAATTGGCCTTCTTGTCACATTCATTCATGTTGCTAGAATATATCTTCATAACATTACAGCTAATTTCAAACTATTTATTTTATACTACTGTCTAAGCTAATGTGTACATGCCTCTATCCCTCTAATGTGATGAAATGAATACAAATAGATTTGGAAGCCACATACCCAGCGAAGAAGGGAGTAGCGAAGAAGAGAGGTAGGGTTTTGTAATATTTAATATTATCTATTTATTTAACCGGTACGGGTTTTAAATGGGTCGGGACTACTCGTCCTATATCCGACCCATTATTTTTTTAAATAACGGGCATGTGTTCAGGTACGGGTAAACGATATTTTTTATACTCCTAAACCCGCTAAAAGATTACGGGTATTATACAGGTTCGGTTCTATACCCGACCCATTGACAAGCCTACATGTGCAGCGGCGCTTCAAAGTCTTCCGTGCTCATTCCACGTCACAAAAAAGTTCCTCCTTCCTTGGGTGGTGCTGTTGTTCTACCATGCTAAGTGTCAAGAAACCAATTCAACTAAAAGCTCAAACTTGTGGTTGTGGTTCAGAAAATGTTTCTTACATTCTAGCACGCCCCTCACGTTCAGGCGTAGTCTTTTTCGAGCCTTGCACGTGAAAGCTTAATTTTTAAAAATTGGATGGCGTTGAGTTTCAAAATCGTGACCACTTCATCTTCAAGGCTCTGATACCATGTCAAGGAACCAATTCAACTAAAATCTCATGCTTGTGGCCCAGAAAATGTTTCTTATATTCTAACGCTAAACATGGGAAGCGCGAGACACCTTCCTCTTTTTTTATTTATTTATATTTATTCGTGTAGAAGAAAGAAGATATTTTGAAATAGTCATACATTTATTTTTATTAAAAATAATAAATAAAATAATTTTTAGTAATTAAAATACATAAATAAAAAGTGGCAAAAACAATGACTTGCGACTGCTCATTTGACAGGACATTAAAGTGCCGCATTCCTTAATTACTTGATATTGCAATGCTCCGAGAACAGAAGAAACTCGACAACGTGTTATAGAGATGAGATTAATTAAAGTGGGAGGATCGGAGTACGTACAAGCAGACAGCTCATCAATTGTCGTCCTCGAGAGCCAGATATCTTATCATCCATTGCACCTACCCATTATTTGCGTCTCTGTGCACTATACCCCTCGCTCCCATTGCCGAAGAGGACTATATATACGCTACACACACACACACACGTACTCCAGTGCCAATATACATACATAAAGAAAGCATTAAGGATATACTATAATAATGTCTGCAGAAAACGTGTTCGGGAAAGCCATCACGGTGCTCGAATACCCGGACAGGGAAGCGAGAGCTGCGGCGGCGAACGCGGCGATCGAGGCGGACGACAAGCACAAGCAGGTGAAGCAGTACGTGAACAAGCTGAAGAGCGCGTACGGCGACGGCATCTCCGTCCTGGCCACCATATACAACGCCACCGGCGAGAACATTTACTTCTCCGCCTCCAAGGACTGGTACGGCAAGCTCTACACCGACTCCTCCTACCCCAAAATCCTCCAGAACGGCCAGTGGGGCGGCTTCCTGCACTGCAAGAACGACGCCGCCCCTAGCGGCACCGAAGCCGCCGTCGTCTTCCGCGCCAAAGCCAACGACTCCTCCGGCGGCAGGGCTGACGTCGTCATTGCTTGGGATGATCCTTGGGCTCCCGGTTCCAGCAACAAGGTACGTACGCAGTATGTACTAATTAATGTCATAATCGATTTGGTTGGTTGTGGCATTCATGGATGAATGTATAAATGGTGCAGGCATACACGGAAATAGGGGAGAACGACAAATACAACTCGGCGTGGGATGAGGTCCGTTCCAAGCTGGCTTCGTCGGGGGCGTCCCAAAGCGGCTTCGGCTTCGGGCTCTACTCCACAGTTACCATTCCACAGGAAAGCTCCCCGATTCTTGAGGCTGTTCTCGCTCTTGAGTGATCGATTTGCCCGCCCGCCGGAACTCATTTAATTACTTTGCATGGCGATCAAAATAAATGCATGGGCTCCATCATCATTAATCCTAGCTGGGAGGAATAATTGATCTGATGATGATCCATCGCCCTTAATAAATCCAAAATAAAATGCTGCTTGTTTGTTTTTTTAATTGTGTGATGTGCTATATAGGCTACGGCCGATCCACTTTGTTTGATTAATAAAATGAAATTTGCCTCCTCATAGGCTACTACTTGTTCGAATAATAATGTTTTCTTCGCAGGATTATTTTTCAAGAAATTTACGTTATATATATATATATATATATATATATATATATATATATATATATATATATATATATATATATATATATATATATATATATATATATATATATATATATATATATATATATATATATATATATATATATAAAATCTTTTTGTAGATCTATGTAAATAATCCAAAATATTTTGCTTCCATTTTAGAAAAAAATTTAACCACTTAACTTTAGATATTTTTATCATCTTCAAACTTTTTAAATTTTTGTGAAGAAATTTTAAGTAATTTTTCACGGTGGGAGTATTATTGTTACACTCATTGATCCTTATACCCTTAATTTGCGTATGCATTTTCCTTCACTATTTGATAAAATTAAATAGATATGTCATTGCTTGTTTGATAAGACTTCTCAAATTAGTTTTTATCTTTGTAAATTTTACTCTTTATTTCTTTTATTTTTTATAAATAAAATTATTTTAGAAAGAGATGCAATTTTTACACATTTTTTCGAAAGAAGACAACAATGTAATAACAAATAAAATTATTATACTCCTTTCGTGCTCCTTAAATATTTTCATTAGACCTTTTTATTTATCTCTAATAGAAATTCTCATTACCATGTTGTCATATAAAATGCCACAATTATCTCTACTTTATATTTTGACAACCCAGCCACCTCATTTAATATACTACACACATTTCCATTAAGGTTATTTTGGTTAATTTTTTACATTTTTTCAAGTCTTCTTAAAAACCACAAAAAGTTAAACGAGAACATCTTAGGGAGGCGGAAGGATCGGAGAAAGTTAGTTAAATGACCACAAAAACAACAACAACAACAACAACAATTATTATTTAATCATATGTAACATTATATATTATTATGTAATTAATAATGCTAAATTAATTATTCAAATGAACTTATTTAACTACATTTCAAGAATGTTATGGTAATTTGTTTCTAAAGGCTTCCGCAATGTTTTTATTAATTACTCCAATAAGACTAAGTTTTAAATTGTGATTAATGTTTTGTTATAAACGATTTTTTAAATATTGTGCAGGTGTATACCAAATTGTGTGGCAATCCCGTTCGCTAAGTCATGGGTTCACGGCATGCGATTAGGCGTGCTACAAAATATATACGAAGTGGTGGGTTCTAATGTTTTTGGCACTAGCTATACGGAGTATTAGGGTACGTTTGGATTGAGGTCGGTAAAATTTTATTAGGTACGTAATGGAAGGATTGAAGGTAATACGTTGAAAATTTGTGTTTGGATATGTATTAGGTAATGTGAGGTAGGTAAAATAATAAAATTACTTAAATACCCTTTTGCTTGTTTTTCTTTATTACGTGTTTCACTCTCATTATATTCTCCTCTCCGTCATCATCTGGAGTCCAAGCCTCGTCAGGATCCCCACGTAGCAAATATTTGTGTTACATCAAAAAAGCAAGAAAAATAGCAAAAAAACGAAAAAACAAAAAAAACCAAAAAACAGCAAAAAATACAACGAAAAAACCCAAAAAACAGCAAAAAAAAACCCTCCAAAAAAATTGAAAAACAAAACTGAAAAAACATAAAAAAACAGAAAAAAAGAAAAGCAAAAAAATTATTACACGAAGACTTGGAAACAGAAAAAAAAAGCAAAAAAAAATCAATACACGAAGACTTGGAAACAGAAAAAAAAGCAAAAAAAAATCAATACACCAAGACTTGGAAACAGAAAAAAATGGGAGAGGAAGCAGCGGCCTCCGGCATATGCAAAGCTGGAGAATACAAGAAGGGCAGAGTAGGGATCGGAAATTAATTACCTAGGTTGTTCACCAAATTGGCGGTCACAAAAGAAACACTGTTCAGAGGTAGGATTACCTCCCTCTACCTCGGCTGACTTAACTCGTTTTTTCTTCCCAAACGAGGTAAATTGTAAAAATTACCTCACTTTATCTCGCTCTCCCTCCAACCAAACACTTCGTTAATGTATTGCTTTTTCCCGTTGGTAAAAATGAAAATAAAAATAAAAAACAAGAAATAAAAAAATATATTCTTCAACGTAATTTCATTTTAGTTATTTCTTTAATATTTTTTTTATTTAGGATTTTTAATAAGAAAATAATTTTTTACGGAGTATTTCTTATTTTTATTTTCATATTTGAGCAATAGGAAGAAGTAATACATTAATACTCCGAACAGTGTTTAAAATTTTAGAACCAATCATTACATATATTTCTATTTTTGTTTCTTATAGTTTGGGATTAGTTTTTATTGATTAAATTGTTTATTTCATTAATTTTGTATCATTTTAGTTATTTTTCTTTCCATTAGTTTTATATTTATATATATTTTTATTTTTTCTTGAGGTAGGACTAATCTTTAAAAAAGAAGAAAGAAATGATGGAGGTAGAAAGACATTTTTAAAATTTAAGGGAAAAATTTCAATAAAAAAAGAAAATTTATAAAAAATAATCTCAATTTTCATTTTGTTGCACAAAATATGGATTGCTTCTTGTTTGCACCATTTTTTTTTGCAAGAGTTCATTTGGAGCGCAATCTTTTAAGCTCTCAACGAGAGCACTATTTTGATGAAAATAAACTCCAATAGAGGATCTCACCCAAATCGCTAGATCAAGTTAATAATAAAGAGAAGTTAATGAAAGAGTAAAAGCTCGAGAAGACGGCAATGGTTTTTTAGTACTCCCTCGGTTGGAATGACTCTTTCTTCTCTTTTTTTACTTGTCCCATAAAATCATTCTCATTTTTATTAAAAACCTATTTTTATCCATCTTAATTTTTAATCTACCTATCGCATCATATCTTTTCTAATAATCTACACATCGCATCCTACTTTTACTCATTACAACAAATATATTTTTGATTCCTGACAACTGTGCTGGGAGGCAATTATGCTAATAAGCATAGAGCCTCTGCAAATACCAGGTGCAGACTCCACTCTTTGCCATCAATCTGTGCGATCAAAATCCAATTTACCTACTTTTACAGATCGACGGCCGAATCTGATGGAGCTCTCGGGGATAGGGCTCATCCTTTTCTCCTATCATTGCCACTGATGGCCTTGATCTCCTCCCCACGATTATTGCGATGAAACATAATTAACTAGGACCATGCTAGGGTGCCACTACATGGGTGCTACCTTGTGCGCACTCATGTTTCGCACAGACAAACACAGACAATAATTGTCTGTGTTTACTTATGCGAAGCACCCATGGTAGTACCCATGTAGTGGCACCATAGCATTTTTCAATTAACTAATGCCATCACTCCAGAAGAAGCGGTCTTGGTCAAGCTAAACGCAAATTGTTAATTGTTGCATAGAATTGGGCTGGGCTTACAACCCAAAGGCCATTATCCCATGGGCATCACTACTCCATTCTCCTCATATTCTTTCTTCATCATTAATTGTTATGCCACATCATTTTCTTCACCTCCATCTAATTATTCTCTTCTTTTTCTCATGTGTTATCTCATTATTCTCTTCCTTTAGGTCCCGTTTGGTACATAGAATTCAAACTATGGAATTGAAATTGGGGACTTCAATTCTAAATCTGGTATTTGGTAGCACAAAAATTATGTGGATTTGGAATTGATAGTGCAAAAAATGAATTGGAATTGGCAGAATTCAATTCTATGGAATTGAATCCCATGAAATTTCAATTCCAATTTCACCAATTCCGTATACCAAACGGACCCTTAATTTCTCATGTGTTTCAAAATATATTTTTTTGTTCTCAATGAATCAAATTAAATGCATGAGTTTTCATACATTCAATATAAAAAATTCCCTTTTGCACGGAAGGAATGACGCACTGCAAAAAATCCCTCTTCAAGCAGGTGAAGAAGTACCTTGAATGACGCCGCCCCTAAGAGCATGCGCAGCGGCGAGGCATTTCCTCGCTCGCTGCGCCACATCAGCTCCCTCAGCACTTTTACCTCGCGTGGCTTCAGCCTCCCTCCACGCCAAGCGTGTGAGGCGCGAGGCATCCTCAATTTTTTTTATTTTTTAGAAGAAATAATTTTTTTTAAAAAAGAGTACATCTATATAAAAAAGATAAATGAAATAATTTTTTCTAATTAAAATGCATTAAAAAATCATAAAAATTGACAAAAACAATGACTTGCCACTGTACGAGATGCCTCTCCACTCACTTGTCACACGCTGACTGGATTGTTTTTTATTGGTTGAAATGTGTCACGTCAACGTGTGGCATTCTATTTCGTTACTTGTCATTGCCCGTGATCTAACGGCACTGAAGCCACCGTCATTTTCCGCGCCGAAGCCAATTCAATGACTCGAGTGACAGGGCTGAGGTCATTGAAGAAAAATAATAATGGAGAATAATGCTCGATACCATGTACTCCCTCCGTTTTCAAAAACAATTCCTCTTTCATTTTTTTCACTTCCAACAAAATAATTCTACTTTTTATTAAAAAATCACTTTTACCCTTACTTTTTCATACCTACCTATCACAGATCTTGTTCAACATAATCAACCCTAATCGTTTCTTCAAAGTTGTCTCACTTCCATGCAACCTTTCGATACAGATCAGTTTCGTTATTCGCGATGCGATGTGTATGTTAATAACGTATCAGAGGGTCATATGTTTTTCGTTTACTCTTTCGTCTCTTCACCGAGTACGAAAATTTGACTTGAGTCTATGCTCGATATAATTTCAGTACTAATAATTGTTATAAAATGAGAATTTTAACAAGTCAATATTTACTAAGTAAATTCTCATACCTTTCCTGGAGCAGAGGGATGCGAGAGTCGTGGATGTGATTGACATTTTTTTAAATATCAAATATTTGATCCGAAGATCGGTTTTAAAACCATTTGCTCCGATACCAAATTGTAACACCCTAATCCGTCCAGGTCTGCAGCCCCTTTCGGACTAAAGTATTGATTTGGTCGTGATAATTTAAAACATTTCAAACATTTTTATTTATAAATAATATTCCATACATAATTGTAGAGAAATACGGAGTGTTTAAATAAAATGCGGAAGCGACTTTAAAATATGTCTCATAACAACATAATTATTTATTTCATTCAATAATCTACAACGACTGTCTCGCCCCTTCTGCTGCCAGGAATCAGCCAATCATTCATTCTGCCTACCTGCGTGTAGCAAATAAAACACACTACACGCTCAGCGGTGATGTAACACCCCGGCCCCCACCCTGGCCGTAAGTGTTCGCTCATAGGATTGTAGACTGTCCCCACAACCCAACACAAGTCTTTCCCGCACACTTTGTCCTCACTCGTGCGCGCCCAAGGAAAACTTCCCAGGGGGTCACTCATCCTAGGTGATGAGCTCTCGAAAAGAAGACGCACCTTGTTGGTATGAGTAAGACTATCAATCCTTTTGAGCTCTTCCCATTCTCATCTTGATACGGGGTATTACATTCACCCCCACTTAGGAATGCAACGTCCTAGTTGCATCCTTTTTTTTGAACCCATAGATCTTCCCCGCTAGGTGAACTAAGCTCTTCTGGCCCGTCACGGTCGCAGGGTTGCTCTGATACCATTTGTAACACCCCGGCCCCCACCCTGGCCGTAAGTGTTCGCTCATAGGATTGTAGACTGTCCCCACAAACCAACACAAGTCTTTCACGCACACTTTATCCTCACTCGTGCGCGCCCAAGGAAAACTTCCCAGGGGGTCACCCATCCTAGAATTGCTCCAGGTCAAGCACGCTTAACCTTGGAGTTTCTAGGTGATGAGCTCTCGAAAAGAAGATGCACCTTGTTGGTATTAATAGTACTATCAATCCTTTTGAGCTCTTCCAATTCCCATCTTGATACGGGGTATTACAGGTGAAGCTGCGTAAGTATATCTAAAGCGTCGAACATCCACATAAATTGAATCTCGATTCATAATCAACAATTTGATATCATGCACACAATATAAAGCCAAATCATTTCATAACAACTCTTAACTATTCCTAGTCTAAGGCAACATTTCTAACCAGGCCCTTATTGATATTTATCAAATTACGTCTTGTGTTCTTAGCTATTAGGTGGGATACTCAGTACACCTAATGCATGGTTGGCTTGTCACTTGACGGCCCACCCACTATAGGCAAGACCTAGGGCATGCATGCAAAATTGGGGCTTTATACTTAACCAGTTGGAGGTATATCTTAGAGTTCTTCTAGATATCCTTAATAATCATCATTATTATACAAGTGGGTATATCTTTAGAGTTCTTCTAGATATCCTTAACAACATTATTCATCAATTCATATTCTTAGTTCAACAATCATTTAATAATCCATAATATTCATCAAATGAACAATCTAATAACAATCAGCGGCCTAGCATCGAGTGTTAACACCCTAGCTTACCGTCAAGCATCACATAAGATCCCTTTTAGTTGTTAAAACACCATCTTTATTCCAAGAAATCATCCTTTTATTGATCATAATGGTTTGGTATCAAAATATAGGATTCCATAACTCAAAAATCATGTTTTCTAAATAACAATTGATTAATATATGATAGGAAATTCAATTATTAGCTATTAGCTTCATTTTCTTCAATAGTGTAGGGAGACAGTCTACTGTCGATAATCTACTGTCTGATGTTCAGAATTGGCTGATAATCGATTATCACACTCTGATAATCGATTATCAAACTTCAGAGAGGGCTGACAGTCGATTATCACATTCTGACAATTGATTGTTGCTCAACTTTGTTCCAAAAATCTGCAGAATGATGAATAATCGATTTTCAAGTTGATAATCGATTATCCATCGTCTTCTACCTCGAGCCAACTTGCGGAAATGTCACTTTTACTCACCAAACTTCAATTAAAGTATATAAAAGTGTTCTCCAAGGTTCATAGATCATTTTGGCATCATTAATTCAAAGTTTTAACATCAAAATCATGGTTTACGATTCTTAGTTCTTCAAGCATGTCAAACACAAAACTCAACCAAATGACCATCTATGAACGTAGAATCAATCTATATGAGCATTCTAGTCATTAGATATATCTACGGGCTTATCTTGAAGCGTAAAGGAGGTTTTGAAGATTTTCCGGCGAAACTTCTGGCGACGAATATTCTCTGCTCCAGCGATCTCACCCAAAAGTGACAACACCAGAGCACTCCTCTCTCAGCAAAGAACAATATAGAAGCAAAATTGAATTATTTTGGTGAAGAATTAAAGGAGTTGTGTTTGTTTATATAGTGGAGAAGAAGGGAAGAAGCCAACTCCTATTGCTTCTACGTAATTGGGATCGACTGATTGCACAGGAAGGGAACATGGCACCGTTTCATGATTAGTTCCCTGATTGGGACTAATTTGGTCCCAGTCGGAGTACACTTTTTGGTCCAACTTTCTCCGAATTGAATTCCATTTGCACCATTGCGATCGGACAGTCGAATTCTATTCAACGATATAATTTTTATATTTATTTGAAATACTTTTTCGCTGTTGTATAAAAACCCACAAACTGAAACTGTCTCAGTTTTAACTTTATTAACTATATGTTCATCTTAATGAGAGTATAAGTTAGTTATAATAATTTAAATTTATAAATAAAGTTATTTAGTAAAATGTTTTCAAGTGTAGAAACTGAAAAAGTCATTTTTATACAAATTACATATTTAAAATGTCATAACTGAACCTTTTTACATCAGATTGATTCATAAAATATGCCGTTGGATTCGTCTCTTCGAGACCTATCCATAAAAGTCAATCTTAACAAAAATCATTGACTCCAAAAATTCCTTCATTTTTGGTCAAACATAGAAATAATGCTTTGTTGAGTGAAAATATGGTTTCTAAAAATACTTTTATAATAGAATAACTTTTAGACCATGTTTTGGGGCGTTACAACTTCCATATTTTTATTTTCTAAATAAGACTTACATTACCAAACATGATCATGTATATTACCAAAAAAACATGAAAGTCTTATTTTGGTACTTTTTTCTATGTTTTAATCCTATTTATGATGATTTCTATTTGTTATATTGTCAATGACTGACTCTTACTTTAGTATTTTTCCTTATTTTCATGAGTTTATAGGAGACTGTACATATTGCTTTTATTAAATAATGTTTGTATGCTTTTAATTTAGTGTTATAAATATAAAAACTTAATTATTGTATCAAATATTATTTTTTACTTTACTTACTTTAATTTAACATCACAAACATATTTATTATATATAGAAATAATACTTTTAGTGTTAACTAAAATGTTTATAGAAAGGTAACTTTTATGGTGGACCTATGGTTCACCATGGACATACATACAAACAAAACAAGTATTTTTCTTACTACTTAAATAAATGTTTGTTTTTTTAATAAACTCAATAATAAAAATTTTTTATATATGAGAAGTTCTACAAAAAATAGTATGACCCTAAGGTGCACCATCAATCTTATAGAAAGGTGTTATACTCCATACTAAACTTGTACTCCCTCCGTCCAAAAATAATTTTCTCAGTTTGCATTACGATGTTTGACTGAAGTTATTTTCAATTAAATTTATTTGATGATAAGTGTAAAATTTAAAAATAAAAATTATACATTTCAAAACTACGTCAAAAATTCTACAAAATAAGAGGTGACATGACAAATAATTCCCTCCATCTACATTGTCAAACTTTATACACTTTATTTTTTATTTTTTTGTGAATTTTATAAAAATAATATAATCATGTCACATCTAATTTTATGAATATTTTGATCCCATTTTTTAATTTTTATTTTTTACTATTTTACTTCACACAAATTATCACATAAAATGAATTAAAAATTATTTCAATCAAACATCGCAAGGGAAGAAAATTTGTGGAAGGAGGGAATATTTATTAAAAGCTTTGAAACACTAATAATTAAAATTTACTATTATAAATTTTTAAAATTCATTTTTTAAATAGGTTTTCATTAATAATTTGAAAAACATAACATAATTTATAGATCTTTTGATGTGGCATAATTGAAAATATAATTGACTCATTATTTTACTAAAACAAGTTCAAACACCAAAAACTCATGTGTAATTTTTAAGATTAATGGGAATTCGCGAAAAATATTGTAAATAATAAATTTGAATTAATAGATTTTCAAAAAGGTAATTAGCATTTTAGAAAAATGAATAAAAAGAAAGGTAGAATAAAATTAAAAATAGAATAATTAAAAAAGGAAGTAAATATTCAATTGTTTTGAAATTTGGATTTTTTAAATTAATTTTTTTACATGCAAAATTTCTTTAGTTGTCTCCCGCTACATCACATTTTACTTGTCAAAAAGTAATACCTCAACTCTACCACATGTCGCACTTCAACTCTGTCGAATGTCATGTTCCTAGAGCTTGGAGTGTGTTTTTTACATATAAAAGATATTTGATTGAAGTTATTTTCAATAGAATTTATTTAGGAATTATAGTCGAATTTAAAATGAGGAGGTGCTGTCGAAGTTCTGTCCAACTATTATTTCGTAAACGATATCGAAGGTGTGCCGTTGATCCAACCATTAGATATATAATTATATTTGATGTTCATATATTTTTGTGCATACCATTGTTAGACAATAATACTAATACTTCATCCGTTTGGAAAAACACTTCCCATTTGATTTGAGGGCAAAAATAAGGAAGTGTTAAATTATAGTTGATTTGCAATTTTGCCCCTGATGTGATGAGTAAAAGTAAGATGTGATGGATAGATTATTAGAGAAAAAGTATGATGTGATAGGTAGGGTATGAAAAAGTAAGGGTAAAAGTGGTTTTTTAATAGAAAGGGGAAGTGTTTTGTTGGAAGTGGAAAAAATGAAAGAGGAAGTGTTTTTGAGAAGGGAGGGAGTATATTTCTATTTATATGGGCTTATGTATCAATGAAACCCAACGAATTCATTTTTAAAATTCTACAGGTATACACGGAGATAGGGGAGGAGGACAAATACAACTCGTCGTGGGACGAGGTCCGTTCAAATCTGGAAGCGTCGGGGGCGTCCCTAAGCGGCTTTGGCTTCGGACTCTATTCCACCGCCACCATTCCACAGGAGAGCTCCCCGGTTCTTGAGGTTGTTCTCGCCGTTGAATGAATTGTCCGCCCGCCCGCCGTTATTTCCCTTGTTCCAATAATAATCGCTTTGCTTTATGCTTTGCCTTCCTTTGCTTTGTGTTGTTTGGGTGTAATTTTAATTAATTGTGTGATGTGTGTGCTACATATACAGGCTACCGGCCCATCGATCGACGTCGTTTGATTAATAAAATTTGCCTGCACTTCTTGTTTGAATTAATAATGTTTTCTACGTAGGATTATTCTTGTTTTGTTCTTTTTATATTTTCAAAGCTCTCATGCGTTCATTGATCAATAAAATTCATCAACAAAACCGAGCTGAACGAAATGGATGCAGGAAAAACATCACCACTTCCCAACAAGCTAATTTGTGGCAACAGGTTCGCTAATTTGTGGGTTCAGGATATGCGATAAGTTGGGATGTGAAAAAATATACTTCTAACACTACGCATCATACGAAGTTTTAACGTACTTCATCTTTTTCTGAAAACATCAGAGATTGTGTTTTTTTGGGATTTTAAGAGGTGCGCATTTTGGTGTTGAGTTTTCAAAAATATCTTTGGATGCAATGGGTAAAATTAAGATTTGATAGACATATAGAATTAATAAGGAGTAATTAATAGATGTGAGTTGATATGTAGGTTAAGAATTAGTAGAGCTAAAGGTGAAAAGTGTTCAGAGAGGAGGGTAGTAGTATTTTTTCCCATTGGTAAATAATGTAAATTTAATACTCCGTAAAAACCAAGAAACAAAAAAAAATTATTTTATTATTGAGACCTAAAAATGGAAATAAAAATATAAATAAGAAAGAAAAAATATTTTCTTCAACGTAATTTCATGTTAGTTATTTCTTTAATAAATTTTTTTATTTCTATTTATTTAGGGTTTTAATACGAAAACAATTTTTTGTTTCTTACTTTAATTTGATATTTGACTAAGAAGAAGAAGTAAATTAAAACATTAATACTTTGAATGGTGGGTAAAATGTTAGCACCACTCAATACATGTATTTTTATTTCTTAGAGTTTGGGTTGGTTTGTATTGATCAATTTATTTATTTCATTAAGTTGTTTTGGAAACTGAATCTCTTTGGAATTCGAGCCTAATTTGCTTAATTCTTGTTTTAGTATGAATAAAATTTTTTTGTATGCTTTACCCTCTTCTGGTACAAAGAGGATTAGATCTTTGTATTTCCAATACATTTCAATACAGAAATAGATATCCTTTTTTAATTATTTTCTACAAAATGTTTTGTGGGACGGAAGAAATACTTCCTTCATACCATAAAACTATACTCATATTGACTCTTAGAAAATTTAAATAAAAGATATTTTTGTGTTGACTTTTAAAAATATCTTGATGTAACGAGTAAAAGTAGAATGCAATGAATAGATTATTAATAAAAAGTTGTGATGTAATGATTATCCTAAAAATTGATATGGACAAAAATGAGCTTTTAATAGAAAAAGAAGATTTTGTGGGATACAAAAATAAAGAAAGAAAACCGTAACTTTTTTTGGAAGAGATGGCGTATAAATTTACAATTATTTAAATTTTATATAAATTTGAAATTTAATTTTCTATAGTACGAGTGTGTACTTATACCATACGGCTGTCAGCCTGTCACTCGCTGCCGCTTTGCCTATTGAGTTGCGTTGGATTGTCGCTACACGCACTAGAATATAATAATAATAATAATAATAATAATAATAATAATAATAAATGATAGAATCTGAAAGTTATTTTTACAAAATTGGGAGAACCCAACAGCAATTTTTGAGAGAAGATGATGAAAAGGTAATGGACAAAATGATTTTTGGTTAATTAAAGGTAGCCTTAGACTTGGCAAAAAATGATTCGACATGTTTTTGACCCGAGATCCGAACCGAACCGCTAATGTAATATAATGTTATAAAAGTAAAATTTTAATTAGATTTCTTTGCTTACCACTCGTTTTTAATGTATAAATTTACATTTTAATGTAAAATTTTAATGATATTGCATGATTATCTTATTTTTTTCAAAATTTTCTATATATTTAGTTTTTTTATTCGTAATATAGACAATCTGTCATAAAAATTACTTAAAATTTCAAAAAATGAATGAAAGTCTTAAGTCGTTGGGTCGACCCGAACCCGATGACATTGCGTCATGAACATGTAGTTTTCAACCCGAATCTGAACTTACTCAAACATGAAATTAGCTGAACAAAGATGATCGAATCTGAACCCGACTCGACCGACCATTTTGTCAGCTCTCTAGGTAACTATAAGTTTATTTTTATAAAAAATGAAACCAGTGAATTTTTATCAAAAAAAAAAAACTGGCTAAGGGTACATACTAATTTTGTCCAAATCCGGTGTAAACTTGACGGTTTAGTTCGGCGTGTTCTTACTTTTTAGCTCCTGGCCTAAAATTGAATAGTGGAGCACATAAATTAGTGCGATTCCCCTTGAAAACTTCGTCCATCCGACGGCGGCGATGACTCACCACCACCACCACCATCACGCTCCTGCTCCTCCGACACCTTCTCATCACCACCACAGCCACCATCACCATCACACTCCTCCTCCTCCGCCTACTCACCACCATCACCCTCCTCCGCCTCCTACTCCGTGTCCCCCGCCTCTGCACTCCCACCACGATCCTCTTCTTCCTCCGCCGCCACAACCATATCAGGACTACTTTCATCCACTCAGGTCTCCTCCTCCTCTTCCGATTTCTTCTCCTATCCACCGCCGCCACACCCGCGACCGCGAGCGAGAGGGCTGCTGTTCATGGTACGTCGGTTGTCTCAGCCGTCTAAATCTGATCCAATCTATTCTCCTACCTTGTTTTACTGCTGGATTATTTTTTATTTTAAAAAATCAACCGATTCTCCCATCGCCTAATTCCAATTTCCTGCATCTTTTACCCTAATGGAAATAATTGTCATTTGCATTCAATTTCTTATCAATGAAGAGTTGCTATTGGTATTTAAGTTGCAGTTCGATTCTTTGATCCAGCTTATTTATGGTATGTCACCAGACTTATGTTTACTCATGACTCAATTTGATCCAGATAAATTCATTTGAGTAAAATTAGTCCCTATATATAGGAAATATGAATCAATTATCAGGTACTAGTTTGAGTCAAATTAATCCCTATAATTTTGAGTTATCACAGTTAATTGTTTTGTTTCAATTAAGTGAATTAACAGGTTAACTTATAAGTTTAGAATATAAATTTATCATAAAGGACTAATTCGATTCGCATTTCCTAGTTACAGGGACTAATTTGACTAGACCAAACTCACATGGACCAAATATGCTCGTGAGTCACTTACATGGATTAAAATGAGTATACTCTATGTCACCATCTCCCCCTTATGCTCTACTCTGTGTAAAGTTGTTTACATTGAAAAAATGGGTGATTTTAGTGTCATCTGCTGTTTTGTGTAATCATATATACTTAGATCTGACAAGAATTTGAATAGACATTGTCAAAAGAGTTAAGAGGTTCGGAGTGTACACTCGTTCAATGGTATTACAAATTCATTGCGGGAACCGGGAACGTTGGCCCTCGTTAGTTTGGTCTAAGGGGCAGAGACCCTCTTGGAAATTTTTTTATGAAAATCCTTCGGCCGTCTAAATCTGATCCAATTTATTCTCCTACCATTTTTACTGCTGGATTATTTTTTTAAATAAATCAACCGTGTCTCCCATCGCCTAATTTCAATTTCCTGCATCTTTTACCCTAACACGGTTCAAGGACTTTGAAAGGGAAAGGAAAAGAAATTACGATGGAAAATAGTTTTCCTTGAACGAAACATAGTGTAATGAAAATAATTGTCATTTGCATTCAATTTCTTATCAATGAAAAATTGCTATTGGTATTTATGTTGGAGTATTTTTCTGGAATTTTTTGTTTGCAGTTCGATTCTTTGATCCAGATGCTGTGCTTAATTATGGTATGTCAGTATGTCACCATATCCCCTTCATGTATCTTCACCTTCTATTGTGTGAAAAAAAGTGGTTTAACCTTGTCTGCTCTTTTTAAAGTTGTTTACATTGAAAACATCACATAGGTCATTTTATAGGAGTATGAATTGAGTAACAATAATCTTAAACAGCTATCATAACTTAGATAAGTCACCAACTAGGCTTTGTTTGGGAACAACTTTTTTTATTAGCGTTAGCATTTTAGATAATTTTGTAACGAGTTATATGCAAATAGTCCCTGTGGTGTTTCATAAGTAGATAAATAGTCCTCGAATTTTTAAAAGTTGTCAAATAGTTCATGCGGTCAAATAACCATAGCATAATTAGTTCATATATTAGAAAATTCTTAAAATGTACCCAAGGCGCGCGTATTATCATTATTATGCAAAGACGTCAATCATGTCACCTTAAAAAAAGATAATCTAAAATTTCAGTTGTGATGTGTAACTTTGAACTATAGTACAATATCTTCTATCTTTTAGTTTAACTCTTACAATGAATTCTCAGTCTCTTCTATGGTGATATTCTTGAATTATAGTACAATGTCCTATGTAAGCTTCACATTATTTTGTTTTTCAAGTAGCTTTATTCTAAGGTAAAATCGTGTGAGAAAAGAGCAACAAAAAGATCATTCATTGCCTCTAACCACGAAGACGAGGGCAATTTCATGAGATAAACTTCTTTTTTTTCACGCAGTACGTCTATGTTCTGTGTGCTATACGTTTTCTTAAAGAAAAGACTAATTAATGCATCAGTTCTTTGACCACAAGAGCTATTTTGCAACTTATAAAAGTACAGAGACTATTTACTAACTTATGAAAGACCATAGAGACTATTTATGCGTTTAAATCTTTTTTAACAGTACAGAAACTTTGAAACACTGAAGCTATAGCCTATATGTGCTTTTCCAATCTGATTTTTGATGCTATGGTCTTTTAAAGGTGGATTGGATTGGATGCTTCGATCAACTATGTTGCAGTTGTATTTTAGAATATAAAAACACTTCATTATGTATTATTATAGATCTAGAGTATACGATTTGGTATTGTTGCATTGCATATACGTGACACATATATCTGTGTGTGACAAGCATAAATAATGTAGTCCTACTGTTTTTATCCTTTCCAATAATCGCATGTATCCTTCTCAATTTTCATCTTTTGGGTGTTTTGGCATCCAAGAAGATCTTTTGTTTTTCATTTTAATGATGCATTGTTTGATCAAGTATTTTTCCATTTCAAGGTAAATTTCTATAACCATATATACAAAGTACTTCTTTAATTTGGTGGTTCCGATTGTGTCAAATTTTGACCAAACTCTTTTCCTTCTAAATTAATCGTCTTAGTTTCACTTCACATAGTTTTAGAAAAGTATTAGAATGTAAAAAAGTACTCCGTAGTTGAAATTTGATTGGGAGAAAGAGAAATATTGTGGACTGTATATTATTTACGGAAAAAGACTAAAATAAGAGTAAAGCATTGAAAATACCAAAATAAGAATTTCATGTTTTTATTTTCAAAATAGGACTTGAAATGTATAGAAATCACCCTAAATATGACTAGAGTATAGAGAAAAGTACCAAAATAGGACCTTCATGATTTTTTTCCAAAATGAGACTTTGCACTGTGGTAATGCGGTACTGTACATGTGGACATCACTATACTTTTTTGGTAATGTACATGACCATGTTTGGTAATGTAAGTCCTATTTCGAGAATAAAAACATGGAAGTCCTATTTTGGTATATTTTCAATGTTTTAGTCATACTTTGGTCTTTCTCCCTATTTTTATTCCCTAAATAGGAGTAAATATGAAACTTTTTGGTACTTTCCCTAAATAGCATCACATGTATTTTTTTCTCAATGTAGCACTTTTAGTCATTATCCATTAGTCATTATTCAAGTAAATGTTCCCCATAATTAGACATTATGAACATTATTAAGTGTTATTTAAGAAATAAAACAGTTTAAATGTTATTTAGAAAATGACTTAAGTTTTAGTGCTATTTAGTATAAATATTTGAAGAAGTGATGGGAAAAAGCCCTCTCCCGCCTTATTCGAACGCACAACATGTTGAATTAATTACTTGTATTAATGCGTGAACTTTCCTAATTCTTACTTTTAAACCCTTGTTTACAAGCGAGAAATTATAATTACACTATTCAACCTTCATTTTGTGAAAGGAAAATGCTAGAATCACAAATTTAAAGTTCACAAACTTCACAAACTTGTCTTTTGTGGAATTTAAATTAAAATATTTATTAATATTTGAGTGAATCTTATTTCTAGGAAAGTGCTAAAAAGGCAAGTTTGTGAATTTTGCAAACTGTTTGTTTGTGACTCTAGCATCACTGTTGGTGAAACATATACTCCCTTGGTTCCTTCGTTTAAAAAGGAATTTAAATTTAATTTTTTCCAATAATAACAATATTTGGACACAAATATTATCAAAACTAAATGGTAAAATAATGATAAAGTCGAGTGTGAGATCATAATTTGTTGAATCCTTTCTTGATTGGATTTTGAGATCCATCCCGCATATATAGAATATTTTGGGAAGGAAAGAATATTTTGGGTGGAAACCAAAGAATTACGGAGTAATACTCATCAGTCCCAAATTAAACTTAAAACATAAATTACTTAAAAGAAGAGGAGGCCGGCACACATAAACGTGCACACGCTCGCATGCATTGGACCAATTGGCCGGCAGCAGTGACCTCATTAATTACTCGCTTCCTAAAATTAACTTTCTATTTGTCAAGCAACCAACTCAATCAAAAGTTTAAACGTGTGGTTTTAAATCAAAAAATATTTTTTATATTCTAACACATCTCTTCACATGCAGACATAATTTTTTTTAAAAACTGGATGGTGTTGAATTTTGAACCCGTGACCTTTAAATCAACCAAAAGTCAAGCTACGCTTCTCAAGATTATTTTGGGAAGAGTAATTAATACGGAGGACTACAAGTTGCTTCAACTACAATTCTCCATCTATCTATCTATGCATAAATCAAAAGGGCAAAGTTAGTTTAACTTCTAAATTTCCATTATACATAAATCTATCTAATATATATGATTCTTAGACTAATAATATGCCCTTATTAATAAGCTAGCTTGCATGCATGTATATATTGATATATAAATATATATATATAAATAATAATGGTTCCCCGGAAGAAGAAGTGTATTTGTAGCTACACGGTGGTGGCTCTGTGTTGTCTTTCCGCCATGCTTCTCTCCCTCTTTGGTACGTACCGTACTCCCTCCTACTTTTCTTTCCCTCCTTTTTTTAATTTTCTTCTGCTTTTAATTAATTATTAACATGCCTCATGGAGTTTTTTTTTAAAAAAATTATTTACTCAAGTCTTAAACATATGGCCGGCTAGCTTGATTATTCTTAACTGTCTTTGGATTAGTTTTGTACTATTGCTTGAATTTTGTTTTTCCCATTTGACTTTGTTAGATTCTTAGGTTAAGATTTGAACGAAGAGAGTAGGTTATTTGCTATTTTCTTATAATGAAAAAGAATTATGTGAAAGTTTACAAAACAAATCATCAAAAGGTCAAAATTTATTTATTCTCTTTTCCCTATTTTTTGTTTACTTATTTGATAAAATAAAAAAATAAATTCTACAAATGATCTCTAATTAAATGTGGGTTTTCATATTTGGTCATCAATTCTAAGATATTATATAAATGATCTTCAATTTTTGAAAAGAATTTCATAATTAATTCTTTAAGTCAAATATATTTTTCCACATATTATCTCTGTATCGATTATGGAATAGTTTTGTCAAAAATGAAAATCATTTATGAAATGTCTTAAAATTGGATCCCAAATACTCCATATAAAAAATCACATGTAATTAAAACCATTTATGAAATTACGCAAAAATAAAAGAGTCGTGTAACTTCTTATTTCTTAGACTGTTTTTATACTTTTAATTATACAAATATTATTTTTAATTTGATACAAATTCTCAAAAAAAAAATTGAAAATAGCTACTCCCTCTCTTTTTTTTTAAAAAAAACTCTTTGTTTCATTTATTGCATATCTCCTACTCTCTCTCTCTCATAGAATTCTTCATGTTTGAAAGAAAGTGTACCTTTAAAATGAGAAATTTTTGTATGATTTTCTAAATTTATCCTTACTTTGTAATAGAGTAAGATGAGATGTAAAGAATAGATGAGTCATAATTAAAAAATAACACTAAAATTACTCATTTTAAAAATGTGTTTTTTTCAAACAAGAATGGTTTTATAGGACGGAGGAGTATAACACTTATATCTCATCTAAAATATCTAAAATACTCACAAAATAATTTCTACCCACAAGAAAAAAGAAATAGGTTGAATTTTGGACGCACAAAAATGAAACAGAGACGAAAAAACTGAGATTAATGAATTGGTCTCTTTTCCATCTCACTTTAGAGACAATAATGAGACTGGTGGATTGCTCTCTTTTCCTGTCTCTTTTTCACTTGCATTCTTGTAGTGTTATAAGCTCATAGATAATGACGAAAAAGATATGCGAAATTTTTTATACAATTATAACATTAAAAATTCATTTTGAATACTACTAAAATATAAAACCTTTTTCTAGACATAAATTCGTGATTAATTAGTTTCATGATACTCCGTTTAAAAACTGTTTTTAGACCTAAACTTTTTCATGATACTATGTACTCCATATTAGAGTTTTATTGGCTTAGAAATCAAAAATTGCAAACACTACAATAATAAATTTGAACATGTTGAGTTAATTTCTTGACAAGTAATGCCCCCATTGAAAGACGTGTCACATACACATGCAGTTATTAAAGAGGATGAAATTTATTATCATGCTTTGGGAAATGACATGTAGTAAATAATGAAGGTGCATGGCGCCGTTCAAGAAACTAGCTAGACAACTGCATGCAACTCATCATTCCCAATGCTAAATAAATACATTCCCACCCATTCTAGACAAGAAACTAGACAAGGTGGTGTACCTACGTCACATTTCTTAGATACATATATAGAGTCACTCATTATCATACAGATAGTGGTGTCTGTGTGTTTGTGAGAAAATGATGTAACCTTGGATTACACCACCTTAAATTAGGTACTTCTAGGTTTTTCTAATTTTGATATTGTTTTCTAATTTTATCTTTCTAATTTCAAAATTACCTATTTTAGAGTGTGTCTTTTTTCATTCTTGAGAAGTTTTATGGGACTAGGAAGTATAATTAGCATAAGAGGAATGATTTCTTAAACACAAAGAAAGATGAAAAAACTTCTAGCTAGCTAAAACACGTGCATGCACTAGAATTCCTATTTTTATTTAATGGGGTACGTAATTGATATTCTAACCATAAATGTGTATATTGATAATTGCAACGTCTTGTTTTTAAATTTAAAAAAACTTTGTTGATTTGATATTATACGGAGTGAGCATGAATTTCATTAAATTACTCTTATCAGATAATTGCACTTGCAATAATGGTGAAATAGCCACTTCAAAGTTTGGGTCGGATTCGGATTCGGACACGGGTTCGGGTTGCACAAAGGACGACATAGAAGTGGACCAAGGCCAGACGTCGCCGTTACCCAACGGCATTCCCACATACACCGTCGAGATAGAGAACGTTTGCATCGACGGCCGCCGGAGCTGCCGCATGTCGAACATCCACCTCCGGTGCGGGTGGTTCAGCTCGGCCAGGCTGATCGACCCCGCCGTGTTCCGCCGCGTAGGGTACGACGACTGCCTCCTCAACGACGGCGCGCCCCTCGACGCCGGCGACTGCATATCGTTCGTGTACGCCAACACCTACCCCTACCCGCTCGAGGTCTCCTCCGTTTCGTGCTAACTTAACTTAAAGTGTAATTAATTAATTGTTTAATTAATTAACACGCTTCATATTATGATGATGTACGTACAACTAATTAATACGGAGTATTACTAATTCTATATTTTCTGTTTGGTTATTAGTAGTCAAATTTGCTCGAGATGGTAGTATGGTACCTATTTTAATATAGGCACTAGTATGTATTCTTAAAATAGTAATCCTTTTGTCTATATATTAATGTATTTTTTTTAAATAATTAACTAATTAAATTTATATCAATGCTTATTTTATACTATTTCCGTCGCAGAGTATTTGTTCTGTTTTGATTTTGTTCAATCAATTGTTTTTAACTTATAACTAAATAAAACATATATTGTACTCCCTCCGTCCCAAAAAGTTTGTTACGTTTAGAAAAAACTGCGTCCCGTAAAGTTCGTTACATTTCTATTAAAAACCCACTTTTACCCTTTACTTTTTCATACCCTACCTATCACATCATACCTTTTTTCTAATAATTTACCCATCACATCCTACTTTTACCCATCACATCAAGGATATTTTTGGAAAATTAAAACCAAAATATCCTCCCTTAATTTCCCAAAAAGTCAAACCGTCCCAATCTTTTTGGGACGGAGGGAGTATATTAATTAGAAAAAAATGATATTTTTAAAATAATTTATATAAAAAATTTAATAAAGTTATTTTGTATCAATATTTAATATCATTTTTATTTAATTTGATGTTAAAGTTTACCAAATTTGACCGGAAAGAATCAAAAGTAGACAAATACTCCATGACGGAGGGAGTACGGATTATAATGTATTCTTAAAATAGTATTCCCTCCGTCGATAAAATAATGTATTTTTTCAAATTGAATTATAGATATTAAAATTGTATCACAACTCAATGTATTTCTCCTTTTTTTGTAATTTGTAGTTAAAGTTTATACATACTTAAATTAGTACTCCCTCCATCGATAAAATAATGTATTTTTTCAAATTAAATTTATTGATATTAAAATTGTATCACAACTCAGTGTGGATTTCTTTTATCTTTTTTTTTTTTTGTAATTTGTAGTTAAAGTTTATACACATTGACTATAAAACTAAAAGTGTGAAAAATCATGGTGGAAAAAGAGAAGAGGTGTACGTTTATTTATCAGAGCAACAACAACGGCAAGGCGAAAATGGAATGTCACACGGTGACATGGAACATTTTAACCAATCTAAAATAACCTAGTCAGCGTGTGATAAGTAAATGGATTGGCAAGTCCTACAATGGCACGTCATTATTTTTTATCACTTTTTTACATTTTTTATTGTTTTTAAGCATAAAAAAATATTTTTATTATTTATCTTATTAAAAAACTATTCTACTTTCTTGTACATTTTTTCATAAGAAATTTTTAAAAAAAATATTTTAAAAAGAAAAAAATTAGTATGAAGTACTACACTCATGCCTCACCAAGCAAGGCATTTTGGTGCACCTTAAGAACTTTTCTTAATTTAAAGAATAACCTCTCATGTTTGAATATTTGTCTATTCTTAACTTTTTTTTTTACTTCAAATTAAATAAAATGTATACTCTATTAGGAAATGATACAAAAATATTGTTTTAGATTTATTTATAAAATATTTTCAGGATATTATTTTGTGTAATTAATATACAATATTTTTCATTATGAGTTAAATGTTGAAAGTCGTTGACTATAAAAAGTTAATTTAATTACACTACAAGATATTTCATTATTTTATTCTTACAATGGTATAAAATGTCCGGTTATACATTATAGTTGCACCCCAAGCATTTTTCTACTCATTTACCTGTTCTAAATATTAAGGGTCTTGAATAGTGAATACCACCTTTTTGAAAGAAATTATTTGAATCCATTTGATCTAAGATCTTTTTGGATCATTTAATCCCTCGACCCAAGTAAATTCTCTACTTCAATTAACGATGTTTGACTAAAATTATTTTTTAATTTTATTTACATAAAAACTGAGGTAAAATTAGAAACATAGAATTTACATAATTAAACACTACTTCATTCGTCCAAATTTATATTAGTTGTTTTGATAGTGCCACGCTGCGTGCGCTTGAAACCCTCTCTCTCTCTTTTTTCCTTCGTAAGAAATGAATGCATCACGCTATCATTTCTTACAAGCGCCGCAAGCTTTTTTGATCGTCCCAATCACGGGTTGAGTTTACGTTGTTAAAAAAGAGAGTTATGCAACAACAACCTAGTTGGATTCCTCTCTTGTAGGGTCTGGAGAGGTTGTGTGTACGCAAACCTTACCCTTACTCAAAAGTTGAGAGGCTAATTCTAAAGAGACCTAGGTAACTAATCATGCTTGAAGGAAAATAGCTAGGGAGGGGGCGTCATATTGGTTTGGGGCAAGGGAGGACGAGGTTCAGTGAGGGGAAAGGGTACATATAGGTGGCCGGGAGATACGGTCATCAAAGGGATCAGAGTGCGTGTCTGTGTGTCTGTAACTCTCTGGCCGGTCCGGGAGGCACTAGGATGTCTGGTGCATCTTGGAATCGGAAGACCCTAAGGATGGGATTCATGTTTTTTTAACGAAAGACAAGTAAACAGCAATGGAATTGAGTGAGTAGTACATCCGTTTATTCTGTTTTGTCCACTAGAAACGAAAATCGTAAAACGGCTATGTGTATACGTATGTATGGCCTGTATGGGGAAGCAAATACACTGAATAAATATGAACAACTAGAAATAGGAAGTCAACCAGGTATTGCGAAACTTTCCTGAGTCCACTGTGGAGGGTCCACCACTATACAAGGATCCGACTTCTCAAAATCAGCAACCTGCAGGTTTCCATATATAAACATGGAGTCCATCTATATAAGGAACTAATATTCTCTTATGTGTGGATAATTAAGTGGATTGAATACTGAATGACACAATGGTTTTCTTTTTTTATGCATGGTGATGATGGTGAGAATTGTGCTTTAACAAACAAAGAAACTCACTTTTTCTGTGCACCTTGGGCAGTAGTGATACTTATGCCAGAGGCAATCCATTGATGGACAAAGAAAGCAAACCCCAAGCATCATCGGCATCATACATGCAACACAAGCAGCTAAACTCGGTTTTGACCTGCCGCCGAGTATATATACAAAATACCACAGATGTACATGTTACATGAGAAAGGTAACTGCAACAATAACTTTTGAATTTAATCAAGGCAACTAACTTTGAAGATAGTGTGTGTGTGCGTGTGTGTGGGTGTGAGGCTATCATATAGGTGGAGGAGACTGCAGAACCAAGACGGTCCTGAAAAGAGTTTGAGCTGATATGAGCCTCCGTAACATCTGCAATTTAGTGCCGGAGTCTTCATAGGATTACTCCTCAGTCCTCATTTTATATTATTAGTTTGAGTTGGGGTGAAGTTTAAGAAAAATAAAGTTTTATAGTTGAGATTTAATTAGAAAAGGGATGGAAGAAAATGAAGAACGCATTCTTTTGTGGCAGGCCAAATAGGAATTCAAAGAGATCAAGAGTAACAGAGGGAGTGATATATTAGTTATATGAGAAGTTGTTTCTCTTAGTAGTATTAGAAATAGTTTTCTACAATACTAATTTTCTTTTTTTAATTATGTTCTTTATACAAATAACAAAATTGTACCCAGGTTAGGACACTGTTTACTCCATCATCAAGAATCCCATGAGTAACATAAACATAATTTTACTCCTTCATACAAGCTTAATTACATAAGGCTTTGCCAAGGTGAGGTCGTTGGGTTTTTGTCAAGGTCCAAGGATAGGACTAGACTCTTCTTACACCCAAGGTGAGGTCGTCGTTGGGTTTTTGTCAAGGTAAGTTATTTCTTTTCAGGGCTTCACATCCATGATATATACTCCAACAGGTTTAAAATATTATTGAGAGATCTAATGGATCTCTTCTCTTACTTGATTGATTAATGCGATTTAGTCGTTGCCTACCGGCTACCATTCTTTTCAAGTGTTCCATAATCTCTTTTGAATTTTGAGGTATATGATTATGAGTGTGTTCGACAAACAACAGTTAGGAGATAGCGGTTAGCAGTTACTAGTAACATATAACCGTTGACAGTTTGTATTAGCATATATGACTAGCTCTTAGCACTTGGTAATTCGTAAAAGATGTATTGATAATTTAACAAAATGCTAAGATATTAAACCAAAATGCTACTCCGTAATACAAAAATGTTATTTTTTCAAAATGTTGATCTTATCAATATATCAAAACACATCAAATAACATATTCCCCAGATTAAAATGCTGAAAATGCTATTAAATATTGTTTTAGATTAAAATGCTGAAAGACGCTATCAAGAGTTCTCCATATAAATATCTTGAAGAGAGAGATATGAGTTTGTAGGGCATTGGTTTAGATCACCTAATTGATGTAATTCAATCCGACCTAGGTGTATTATGGTCGTGTCGAGTGACTATCAACTCCATTATTACTTTGATATCACTCGACACTTGTGTGTTTAATATGCTAATTATTGAAACCTTGCTTTAATGTTTAGGATCCAAAAATGCAGTTCTTTGCAGTATGAAATCATCTGGAAAACAACGTTCACCAATAAGCTCTTCATGCGAAATTCATGCAATTGAATTATATTCTAATTTGAAAAGAAAAAGATAAAACCTCACAATTTCTCAACAAGTTTAAGCTCACATCAGTAAGCTTCAGACTTCAGGATTCATTCCGGAATCCAATGATTTTGGGAAGCTTGTGAAATCTATATCGTCTATTACCAATTTACCACTAAAGCTAAAAGAGACACTTTTGACAATGTTCTAGCTTCAAGTAAATAATGGACTGAATCAAAATCACATTAAGCCATTGTTTTTTACTTCATATGAAGTTTTGGAAAAAACATGCAACAAGGCAACAAGCCTATAACAGAAACAACCTCTGTTTTTACAGATATATAGTTGCGTACATCTTGACCCCATTGGAGTTGGGATTATACGAATTGTGCTGTTGTTGTGTGAGGTCTATACAAAAAAAATTGAGAGCGGTAGAGACAATTTATTTATCAGAGGTAGGTTTAAACTAGAGATATTTATTCTCTTATTTCACTGAATCATTGATGGGTTTTACCTTTTTTCCCATTGTTCCAACAGTCCATTATTTACTTGATGTATATGATTATTATTATTATTACAAGTTGAATATGAGATCAGGAAGACCAACTAATTAAATGTATTATGACCTAATTGAGTTGAGTATTTCTCAACCCAATTATGAATTCAATACTAAAAACTAATCTGGTATTTCCTCAATAATGAAACTTTGCTTTTATGTGTTAGGAACTTAAAATCCGAAATTTCAGTTCTTAGTAGTAAGAAATCATCGGGGAAATAGAGAATTCAACAGCCAAACAACTCATCACTTTTGATCCACGCAATCGAGTTGATGTAATTTGAAAAAAGACATGAAATCTCAGAAACCGCACAATTTCTACTCGAATAGGTAAAAGCGATGATAGAGCCAAAGCGGGAGAGAATTACTTGACGACGGTGAGGCCGGTGTTTCCACAGTGGAGGCAGTTGAACGGTGCCGGAGTATCCCTGTACATGGTCTGCTGAATCGGAATCCCCATGGGATCTCCGACGATGGCATTCGGAGGTATGACCCCAGCTTGATGAGGATTTCCGCTAGAGAAGTACAGAGGGTGCTGCTGCGGTGGCGGAACCGGCGGCTGATAGGCCGGATTAATGGGGATTCCGATGGCCGGTTCGTCGGTCTTAGACATCGGTCAGTTGGATAGGAAATACCATCCGCGTTTGTCTTAGCACCTTCTATAAGAAATGATGAGACTCGAGTCAAAATCTTCTAGAGAAGTTACCCAAATTTGACGCTGGGTGGATTAAGTTATTTATATTTGTACCCTAATTTGTACACTGCGAATGTTCATATAGACACAAAATGTTAGTTTAAATTTTTAATATTACACCAGTATTTTGTGTCAGTGTGAACCATCAAAATATTAGTTTATACCTTTAATGTAATTTTGGAATACACTTTTTGATGTAAGCATAGTATGATTGAAAAGAATATTCAAAAAAATGCTAAGCCTATAGGCTATATCTCAACCATACAATCTTTAGTGTGGATAAACAAATTGATAGATAAAGTAGATAAAAATTAAGCCTATAGGCTATGAGAATTCTTTGAATACGATTGAGATATAGTCAATATCATTTTGTGTGCCACTAGCATAACTCTTTGAACAAATTACCTTTTGAACAAATTCTTAGCTTTTATATAAACAAAGATAAATTTTACTTCCTTCACCTAACAATTTCTTTCCACTTTTGACTAAGCACGTAGATAGATTAGGAAAGTAATAAAATGTAAAAAATTTCTATGTCTACCTTGATGTCATTGAATAAAGTAAATAGTGTTTATGAAAAATATAGGCATATGACACATTCATTAGATGTTTTTTGTCAAAATAAAAAACGAGATAGAAGTTTGTGGACAATCCAAAAATAAAAGTGAGAAAAAAAATATTGGACATATAAGTTATTAAATTTTAATAAAATTAGATTAAATTAATCAGACCAGATAAAAAGAACAACTTCTAAATCTTTGACATTTCAATAAAGAACCAAATCTACCCCTAATATATAAGAGGGTGCAGTGTGTGGTTCCCTATAGTTGTCGCAATTAATCGAATCACAGTTATTACGCTCTTAACCAACTTTAATCATGTTGCGCGAGTGTATCACACGTATTATGGTAGGTAGTGCGTTGAGGCAACATACTACCTACCACACTTAAGAAAGAAAGAACAAAAAATAAATAAGTTTAACCCAATAGTCCAACTCATAGGTCTAGGAGTTTTTGGAAGGTTCAAAAACAAATTTGTGAGGTTTGAGAGTTAGAGGTGGCAATACGATTATAATAGAGGATTGGGATAAACATATATACCCAATCATGCACATTCCAAAATTTAACAAGTTGCAAATAATATGGAATAATTTATTCAATGATGACCATATATTAATTTTATTCACAAGCTAAGTGTCTCTCAATGGAAAACAATTAACTTCTAGATCAGCTGATGATCTTTGTATAATGTATTCTTCCTTGCATGCATGCATCCTCGTTCAAACTGCATTATATTATATTTAGGAGTACGGTAATATAATCACTGCAATAATAATGTTAATTATTGTACTGTGTTAAATAAAAATAAAGGACAGTGCTAGTTTCGAAAAATGAAAAAATAAAATTGACCTGGTCCAAAATTTACATTTTGGGTCCTACTCCTTCCGTCCCAAATTATAATGTCTGTTTACTATTCACATGGTCAAACTTCATTTACTTTCTTTCTCTATTTTCGTTAGCAATTTGATAAAATAAAATATCATTGTCACTACTAGTTTTATAGATCTTTTGATGTAGTTTTTTAATGTGTAATTTTTAGTTTTTAATTCTATACCATTTGTCATATAAAATGGTTTGAAAATAATTTCAGTGAAACATCGTAAACCGAAACAGGCGTTATAAAATGGGACGGAGGTATTATTTTATTACTTTAGAATACTTTTGCTTCAAAATTATTAACAAATTTAAAAATACGGGATCCTAAAATTTTAAGAGCTCTGTGCGGTTGGCCACTTTGTACACCCAGGCCACCCATGATAAAAGGATTATGGAAGGATTATTGGATCAGGAGGAAGCGAGAACAGCCTCAAAGAAGGGGGAGCTGTCCTGCGCAATGGAAACGGTGGAGTAGAGCCCCATCCCGAAGCTGCTCTCCGAACCCGACTTCGAACCTATCTTCTTCTTTATCTCGTCCCACGCCGAATCCGCAAACTTCCCCGCCTCCCCTATCTCTGTGTACACCCGGTTGTTGGACCCCGGGGCCCACGAGTCGTCCCAGGCTACGACGACGTCCGCCCCGTCACCCGCCGCGTTGGGCTTCGCGCGGTACACGACGGCGGCTTCGGACCCGGTGGCCACCACGGGGCTCTTGATGTGCAGGAAGCCGCCCCACTGCCCGTTCTGGATGATCTTCGGGTACGAGGACCCGCCGTCGGTGTAGAGCTTGCCGTACCAGTCTTTGGAGGTGGAGAAGTGGATGGACTCCCCGGTGGCGTTGTACACCATCGCCAGAACGGACACTCCGTCGCCGTAGGACTCCTTCAGCTTCCTCACGTAGTCCTTCACCTGCGTCTTCTTCTCGTCCGCGTCGATCTGCCCGTAGGCGGCGCTCGCTCTCGCCTCCCTCTCCGGGTATTCGGCCGCCGTGATGGGTTTGCCGAACACGTTCGTCGACGACATTTTTTATCTCTTCAAATTTTATTTATTCCCAGTTATATTACCTATGCATATATCGTTTAATTAATTAACTTCACCAGAGGAGCTCATATCATATATAAATAAGTGGATCGGAGTATAATTTGTAAGACGTTCAACACCAGCCTAGCGGAGATTTTGGATCATGGAGTACGTGTTGGTAATAATGTTTTGTGGCCGTGGATATATGGATTTTGTTATTCTTTTTGGAGTGTTCATAAATCATACAGTATTTGTTCAATTTCAACTTTTTTCAATCAATCATTTTCAACTTTGACCTATAATTAAATAAAATATATATTATATATTAATTAAGTAAGATAATATTTTAAAAATATTTGATATAATAAATCTAATAGTATTATTTTTGTATCAATATCTAATATCATTTTTATTTAATTTGAAGTCAAAGTTTATCAATTTTGACCAAAAAAACTTAAAAGTGGACAAATACTCCGGGACAGAGAAAGTATTAGATCCCTCCCTCAGTATTTGTCCCACATTGAAGTCAATAATTTTTAATTTTAAGCCTCAAATTAAATACTACATAGAAATTATGTGGTATATTAATTAGATAATACTCCCTCCATTTCTTAAAATCATTCCTCTTTTATTTTTTTGTTTTTCTTAAAACACTTCCCTTTTCTATTAAAAACCACTTTTACCCCTACTTTTTCATACCCTACCTATCACATCATATTTTTTCACTAACAATTAAACTATCACATCTTACTTTTACCCATCATATCAAGGGCAAAATTGGAAAATCAACTACAATTTAACACTTCTTTACTTTCCTCCAAAGTCAAAAGAAGAACCTTTTGAGAAACGGAGGGAGTAATATTTTGAAAAACTTGTATCAAATAAATGTAATACAATTCTTTTTCTAGTATTTAATTCTAATTTTATTTAATTAGTAGTCATTGACAATGGGTCCTAGATTGATTGTCCATTGGGCCCTTGGGCCTATTGGACGTGTAGTCATTGACATTGGTGAGATAGACAACTCCTTTACTTTTTAATTAAAAAATTTTCTTTTTATAAAACCGGTAATCGAGACCTTTCTCCATGTTCTATCCATTTATCTTTTGGGTCTATCCGATTAATCCATGTTCACTCCGAAAGGAAGGATAGTTGGTCCTAGGGGTGGACACGGTACGGTTCCGGGACGGTTCCGGTTCGGAACCGCCGGTTCTGGTACCGCCACTCCTTGGTATCGGTACGGGATTGGTCGGTACCGGTTCCAGTTCCGGTTCTGGTACCGTTTCAGCCACCCACAATTTCCGTTTTTTGTTTTTTTATTAAAGTTTTAAATTGTAAAATTGTAAATGTGTAATTGTTAAAAGAAAGGATGAAATAAAAAACTCTAAAAATGAAATTGATAAAGGAAAGAATGAAATAAAAAAATAAAAAAAATTAATTACGGTACCGGAACCGGTACCGCCGGTGCCGGTACCGAAAAATGGGCACCGGAACCGGTACCGGAGTGGGCGGTACCGGTACCGGTTCCCGGAACCGGTGGACCGTCTCGGCCGACGGTAACGGTACCGAAACCGGCGGTACCGTTTCCGGTGACGGTATCGTACCGGTACCGTGTCCACCCCTAGTTGGTCCATTGAAAATTGTCACTTGTGAGAATCGAACCACAAGCATACTCACGAACTCCTCATTCGTGAGTTTGTGGTCGATCTTTCATAGATTTAGCCCGTTAAATTTCGGTTCCAAACTTCTCTTTTTTGGTTGGATTTCATGTTTTTTTTTTGTTGGTGACTAAGTCTGAATTGAAACAACTTTTTGAAAATAGTAGAAATAAAAGAGCTCTTCTGCTCATAAGATCGAATCCCGAAATCGGGAAGTTCTATCCTTTGTAGTAACTATTTGTGTGCACCAAACATGGGACATATTCTCTAAGGAAAAATCAACAATTATATTATGAGCTAACCTCCTTACTATCCTATCGAGCCCGTGATTTATAGAATTCTAAAATAAGGTCTATGTTTTGTTTAATCGAACTTGATTGAATTAATTTTTTATTCAATCTATTAAAAATTTGGTGTAAAGTAAGTGCGTCAAAAACTTTGACCTTTGAAAAAATAATTTCAAAATTAACCAAGTATCCTTTCTTTACACCAACTAAACTGCCCATGCAGGCTAAGTTAGAGATGCTTTGAGTGGCAGCTCAGTTGGTCGAGAACGTGAAATCTTGGATCGATGATCAAGGATTGAGTCCCGCAAACGACAGTGTGAAAGCTATCCAAAAATCTCATAAAGGGTGAGGAGGCTCCTTGTGTGCGGTGGGCACGGGTCTAACGTTCTTTGCCGACTGAGTCACCATGATTTACCTCCCCCACTATCTCTGTCAGGCTAGGGGGTCGGGGCGCCTGGGGTGGGTGATTACACCTTTTGAACCGAGATGCTCTACGTATATTCTCCACCACCGTCGTGAGTCCAATCAGGCTCTGTCCGGTCGGGTTTGGAGGGACGAGGAGGAGCCCCAACGGCACCGGGGGGGACAAGAGGAGGACAATGGGTACCAGAGAACTGGATTCTTAAGGGTAAAAGGATTGCCTTTTTTGAAGATTCCAAAGAGGAAGAAAGAAAAGAAAGAAAGGGAGAAGGCGTATCAATCTTACCAAAGATCATCATATGCTCTTATTCTTGTGCCCCTCAAAAAGCCATTCCCTTTCAAGAAAGCTAACAGTCCAAGCATGTGCATCCTCACTCCTTTCTTTTCATTCCTTAATTAACCCTTTTTTTCCTTGTAAAGTCTAATTTACCCAGTAAATTTAAATTCTTGATTTAGCAGCAGATGCACAAAGAAACTTGTTTAAAGTTTTAACCCCATTTTAGTACAGATACATTGTATTAACACTGTGAACTCGATGCCCACACTTTTTGTCTCTGTTTTTTTTAAAACTGGAATCTGGAAGAGACTGAAATTGGGGGGGTTGGACAAAACAACATCAAGCTGGTTATTACTTATTCTTCTGCAGGTGGTTATAATACTGTCATAAATAATAATCAACAACAACAAGAAGAAGAAGAAGTGGGAGATTCGAGGCTAATAAGGTTTTCTCTTGACACTACTGTTGCAGCAGCTGCTACTCTCCTCTTCGTGCTCATCAACTGTTCGATTAAATGCCGAAACGACTGTTATTCCACTCGACCCAGAGGAAGACGACGACGCCGGAGCTAGATTCAAATCCGCCCTTTCTCTCTCCATGAAATTGTAGAAAATTGGGTTCGTTGTTGTCTTGTTCGTCTCTTCTCCTTCATTCTTCTTCGCCCCTGCCCTCTTCTTCAAGAATATCCGGCAGAGCACCCAGTCATCCTGCACACATATATATAATCAATACAGAAAAAAAGAAACGAAATTAAAACTTATTCAAAAACTGAATCAGCCCAAACAGAGCCCAGAAGAACAGCGGGAATTTCTTCTTTCTCGATTCTTGATCAAAGATCGATCCTTTTTCTTACCTTGTGGTTGATGGGGGCATTGGCGAGGCGGTATTCGTGCATGATCCAGTCGGTGCGGGCGCCACGGGGGGCTTTGCCGTGGTAAAAAACGAGGGTCTTCTTCATCCCAACAACGCCGCCGCCGCCTCTGCAACTCCCGATCTGCTTATCTATTCCGGTGGCCTTCCAGTACCCGGACGCCGTCCCTCTGCTTGACCGGTTCCCGTTCGCGTACTTGGCCTCCCTCGTGCTAAAGAAGTACCTTTCTTGCTCCTTATCCCCTGCACAACACAAATAATTAATACTCATTGGGTCTAACTCAAATCTAACAGAGCTTAGGCAAAAAAGAAATTAAAGAAAGAAATTGCCCGTGAAAAGAAGCTAACCTGGCAAATCCCAGGGATCGGATTTGCAGAGGTCAAAGACGGGGATGACGGCGGCGGGCAAAGGGCAGCAGAGTACCTTGCGCTTCAAGTACTGTACCACCAGCTCCTCGTCGGTGGGGTGGAACCGGAACCCCGGCGGCAACCGCATCACTCCGTTCTTCACAAAGCTCAGCTTCTCCATATATAGTAAGTATATATATATATTATCTCCCTCCCTCCCGGCGACGGCGGCGGCCCAGGCACAGAAAATTAAGCTTCCCTAGCGGCGGAAGAGTGAATAAGAGCAAAAACAAAACAAAACAAAAAATCAAAGAAAATAGAAGAAAGTGGGATCGGAGTAGAAAGAGGGAGGGAATAGAATGGGAAAGGTGGGTGTGTCATGTGTGTGAGGTGAGACAGGGAAAGTATGGCCACTTTTATTTATAGGTGGTACTACACACACATGTACATTATTATTATTTAATTAATTGATTTTGGTACTCAAGTAAAAAGATCATATATTCCCTCCTTTTAGAAAAAAAAATATTCCCAATATGGGTTATTATCATGTTTAATTGAGGTTAAATTTTCCATTTTATTTATACAAAAACTAGTATAAAATTTTAAAAAATATTGGAACATATATTATTTGAAAATTATAGACTGCTCCGTATTAGATAAAAAAATGGTCAATATACTCCCTCCGTCCCAAATTATTTGTCACATTTGTATTCCCGAGGTAAAATATCAAGTTTTTTCAATTCATTTTATTTACATATCGGTAAAGAAATAAAAATAAAATTTACATATAAAAAAACTACATGAAAAATTCTTCGAAATAAGAGGTGTCAAGAATATTTTATTTTATCAAATAATCAATGAAAACGTCGAAACAAACAAAAGTTCCCGACACTGCTGAAAAAGAAAGTGTTGTGATTAAATAGGGACGGTGGGAGTATGACCCAACAAATAATCGGAGTAAATATGAAATTGTTATTTAGACACGTACAAGTACTATGTGTATTCTTTTTTGTAAATTGACAAATCCTGAATTCTCGACGGTTAATATTGAGGATCGTTCGTGTTGCACATTAACTTTGGTACATCTTGGAAACAAAAGACGGAATTCACAGTCAGCTTTGTATTGTCTGTTGCCTCGTCGATACCTCACGGACAAAATCTTGACTGTAACGAGGAGAAAAAACAATGAAAATATTTAGGTGGGTATGAACAAACCCACACTTCTTCTTCTAGCTTAATTACATGTGAAATGAATAACTCAAAAAAAGGTTAAAAAGTTTAGAGGAAAAAATGAGATGCACAAAAGATTTGAATTTAGGGGGGGGCGAAGAAGGCGCGCAAGTGGTAACTGCATATGGCGTAAAGGAGACTCAATCTCTTTTCCTTTGACGCATCTTCAATTGCTTTTTAATTTTTAAACTAAAGAAAATGAACATATATAACCCCAACAAGCCGCAGCTCACATTGTGTAATTAATTTCTTTCTTTCTATCAATTCCCTGCGGAAAGGGTTTAACTTTTTTTTTTTCTTTTATGTCTTTGCCTTAGCTTTAATATAAATGCACTCTTACACGGCAAAGAAAATACCCACCCAAAACAATACTTCAAAATTTTAGATGGGGTGTCGTTTATACCACCCCTGGTTTCTTCTCCATTCTAATTTGAATCAAATTAAATACAACAATCAGAACCCATTTGAATCCCACAAGAGTAAGATCCAAGGAGAGTGTGTACGCAGACTTTATTCCTACTCATATTCAGAAGTAGAGAGACTGTGTTCTAAGAGACCACCGACTCAGCGCCGAAAGTTACATTGATTCACTAGGTGTTATTTCATTAATTAAAGAAACGCAGACCATTCAATCAAATCACACAAGAGTATGATCTAGGAAAAACCCATAAGTTGTTTCCTAAGAGAGTCTCGGCTCATTGTCGAAAGTTGCATTGATTCACTTACTACTACGAAACTTCATTAATTAAATATGCGCAGTCCAGTTGAATCCCACAAGAATAGAATATGAGAAAAGTGTGTATACGCAGACCAAATTCCTACACGAAAGTAGAGAGATTGTTTCCTAAGAGACCTAATTGAAAGTTGCATTGATTCCGTAATTGTTACTCCATTAATTAAAGAAGCGTAAACAATTTAGAGATCTCTTTTGATTTATTCCATCAAATGCGTATTGCTTAAATGCCTTCTATAAATTGATTGGTTGGCCAAAAAATTCCACTTTCACTTGGAAATGTGTGTGCAATAGAGTTAACTTTAATTAGCTTGGCTTGTAGGTGTGTGTAATGCCCCCACACGGACCACATGGATTTTAAACTTTTATGCCAATTTGGTGAGATTAAAACTTGATGGACATCAACATGAATTATGTTTGTTGCGAGTGTAACTCAAATTCCTTCTACCAATCAATCAAAGCGTCCAAGTTTCATGTACTTTGAAATACTACTCCTACTATAGTACTCTATATTATTGATATATTGGAAGTTTGCCTTATATATATACACAACTTTTTTGTCAATTTGAGCCATTAATATACCGGTGCAACTTCTTAGACCGTATTCTGTTCCTCTGATCTGTTCTAACTTTTTGAAGATCTAATTTGATCTAATCTAATCTGGTTAAATGTATACTGATTATGGGTATATTTCAAGTGGTTTGATCTCATCTTTCTTTAATAAGTATAAGTAAAAATATGGAAAACAAGTTGAACGGAATGTAATAGTAATGCACAACTCGGGACATCCCAAGTGCTGCGCAAGTAGTTTTTTTCCTTCCAAATATGTCTCTCAATTAGAGATCAATTTAATAATTGATAGGATCGACAAATTAACTTCTTGGAAATGTAATGAATTTTACGAATAATTCTTTTTCTTTTTATTTATATTCATAGTTTGTACAAATATTAAATGTAACAAGTTATTGATGAAGTTAGTAAAAGTTTGGAGTAGCATGGACAAGGTTGGTTTAGGTAACTAGTTTTGGTTCACAAGGTACAATTAGATAACCGTACTATGTTGATGTTTGTTAAACGAGGAAATTTTGTGGGGACGGCTACGCTGACAAGAGCGAGGGTAGTTTGGAGTTTTTGGGCGATTAGAGTTAGTCTTTAAAGCCATTTTGCCTAACGAACGTGATCCCAAACGAGGCCTAACTCAATATATTTAAAAAGAAAAAATAGACTTTAATAAAATGGAAGATTTAATTAGAAGAGTATTAAAATATAAGTAAATTGCATAAGAATCTAATTAATTAATTGTTATTAATTCTAATGAACCAAAAATGTCCGTCCTTTTGATATTTTTATCGCAAGCTTAAAATTCTAATCATAATTTACGATCACGCTGTCATCGAAGTTCACATTAATAAGGATATTCACCTAGGGCTTGTTTGGGAAAAATATATTTTTCTTAACGTTAGCATAATGAATTAAATTTTAATCATCTAGATTAATATAAGTAGTTATCATGATATCTTATTAAAATACTATAATTTTGTTTTGTATATTACTATAATTTAATTGTTGATTTAAACAAAATATAATTTAACTATTGGGACCAAACCCATTTTTTCGATCATCTCGTCCTGGCCTAAGCTAGGGAGTATTTGTCGATTGAATAGGGCTGGAAGTGTTTTTTCGTCATCAAATCAGACATTCCTATGTCAACAACCTTGTTTTTATGCATGCCATTGTTGAATTATGGCTTAAATTCTTCCATTTTTTTTAATAATTAATGATTATTATTGAAGAATTATGATTTTCATTAATTGAAAGAGTTGTGATTACATGTATATATATAAGGGGAGTCTCAATCCTAATCAAGGTAGGAGAGACACAAGTAGAAAACCTATACAAATAAGGTAAGGGAATAATACAATATATTAAATATATACAATATATTAAATATATACAATATATTAAATATATACAATATATTAAATATATACAATATATTTAACATGCTCCCGGCTACGTCGTATGTGGAGGAGGTCTGATTCCCAAGCTTTGTCTGAAGTCCAGAAATAATAAAGAAGGCAGTCCCTTAGTGAAGATATCAGCATACTGCGAAGACGAGGGAACGTGGAGAACACGTACATGGCCTAGTGCTACTTTGTCACGGACAAAGTGAATATCAACTTCCACGTGCTTGGTGCGCTGGTGCTGCACAGGATTTGTTGAGAGATACACAGCACTGACGTTGTCGCAAAAAACAAGGGTGGCACGTCGAAGGGGTTGCTGCAGCTCAAGAAGAAGATTCCGGATCCAACTCGTCTCTGCTACGGCGTTGGCCACGGCGCGATACTCGGCTTCGGCGCTAGAACGAGAAGTGGTAGCCTGGCGCTTGGAGGACCAGGAGACTAGATTGTCACCGAGAAAAACACAGTATCCAGAGGTGGAACGTCGGGTGTCTGGGCAACCGGCCCAGTCA